CACTCAAAATATGATGAAAAACAAAAACATGTATAACTTCTTACATATATGCTTTGTTGTGGTAGCATATGACAATTGATTATTTTCTATTATGTTAGTTTTGTAAATATAAATTGTATTTTTGAAACAAACATGTCACCATTCTTAAAATTTTCATGCTTTTCGTTGCAATGAAATTTAAATAATAACTCGACTTCTATTTTTTAATAAAACAAACTCTAACTCTAATTTTTTTTAGCTTTTTACTATGTTAAATAATTTATAATGTACATTTTTTACTTGTAAGCACATTATAACATTTTTAAATAGGATAAATCCTTTGAGTTAAAACCTAACTATATACTATTTCAAGTTAAATATTTCTTTATTTCATCTCCATTTTATATTACAACTTTCTTTTAACTTTTAACATCAAGATATCACACATACTTTATATTAATCAATTAAATTGTTTGTGTATTTTTCTTAGTTTTGTTTATGTGTAAAATAGGAATATATATAAAGAAATATTAATACACATATATTAAATATCTTAAATACAATTAATGATTATATATAAGATTCGAGTGGCATTTTCCGTAAATAAGTCGAAATCCGGAGGGCTATTATCAAGGTCCAAACAGTGATCTACCCATTTTGCAATTTAAAACTTACACCCATCCAAAACTTAATTTTAAACTTAAAACCCACCTTGTGACCAAGTTTCCCAAATAGAAACCAGTTTAATGGTTGTAGTGAACTGGTGATATATATCTAGATTTTAAACTCACTAATGTATACATTTTTTATAAGAGACACAAACAGAAAAGCAAAAAGATAGATATTACAAAAGACTAAAAAGCCAAGTCTTTGTGTTGTTTACCTTTACAGAAAGAAAATGGCAGGAGCTCCGGTTGCCTCTGTGACCGCCAACACACCGAAGAAAAGTTACACAATTGCGGTGATTCCCGGCAATGGCGTTGGCCAAGAAGTCATCCCAATCTCCGTTGAGGCTCTTCGTAAAGTTGGATCTCTTGAAGGTTCCCTCCTCTATCATGATTTTTTAGTTCTTGAATCGTTAAAGCACCATAGGATGATCTAAGATTGACAACTAGGGTTTAGGAACGTCTCTTTGCTTCTAATACTCGGTTTACACATTTCAGGGTTCGATTTGAGCTTCGAGGAGCTGCCTATAGGAGGTGTTGCTTTAGATCTCGTCGGAGTTCCACTACCGGAGGAAACATTGACAAAAGCAAAGCAGTCAGACGCTGTTCTTCTTGGAGCTGTTGGATGGTATATTTCGTCATCTTCACAATTTTGTTTTGTGTTTTTTGGATTAATCTGAAGTTAGTGTTTTTATTTTTTAAATGAAAGGCCGAAATATGATGACAATCCGAAGCCTATGAAGCCCATAACGGCACTGTTTCAGCTTCGTGCGGCTCTTGGAGTATTTTCTAATTTAAGACCCGTCAGGGTGTTTCCACACGTATCTTGTCTTTTTCTTAGCTCTTGGAAACTGACACTGCCTTTTTCATAACATGTCTTAGATATTCTTTGGACTTTTGACATGTCTCAGTTGGTTGATTCAACATATCTTAGAAAAGACACTTCTCTCGGGGTTGACCTTTTGATCATCAGGGAGCTTACCGGAGGTCAGTCATCATTGTTCACATAAAGAATGTGTGTTCGGTTAGTTTGGATATTTTGGTTTGGGTAGTTTCTATCGAAAGTTTCTGAGATAAATTACAGTTTGGTTTGAGTCGGGTATAACGGGTAGTTGGCATTAATTCTTTTTATTGAAACTAACCAAAATTTTGTATTTTTGGTTCAAATTTTGTTAAAGTCCCTTAGTTAGTTTGGTTCTTTGGTTTGAAATATACAGTAGAAACTCTATAAATTAATGGACTTTAATATTTTATTAATCATAACTTGGGACCGGAGAAAATTATTATATAAATTTATTGAGTATTAATTCATAGAGTTCTACTGTATTTTAATTAAATTATTTATAGTTTGGTATGGTTGGGAATATCCTGGTTTAGAAGAAAAAAAATCGGTTAACCAATCAATAACAGAAATAATTTCGAAATATTGCTGATCGGGTTAACCAAAGTAACCAAACCAAAACCAAAAATCTCCGTTCGGAAACTTCGGCTTGGGTTACATTCGCAAGCCTCGTTCGCATAGTAAACATATAGATCATGGCTCTTTCATCTCTTTTAAATGTTTGCTTTGTCTATGAAAGATTTGAAATATCTTTGCTGAAAACAGGTATCTACAATGCACATCCTCGAGGATTTACAACAAATGAACAAGGTGATGAAGTTGGCTTTTGCACCGAGCTCTACTCTGCCACTGAGGTATCATGCATCCACCTTTTCCAAGGCCTTTAATCCCGTTTAAAGAAAGCTTTAGATGTCTAGTTGATGATAGTGTTTCTCAATATAGCATTCTTTGTTTCTGATTCTTCTTAGGTTGATCGATAAAATCAAATAAACTCATGTATACGTGGGGCTTAATCTAGTAATTATCATCAACGCTAACGCAACAAAAAAGATATGTAAAAAATTATACATATTATTTTATACCATATTTTATGTGCAAATGCGATTCCTCACCATGTTTACAAATTCTAACGTCGAGTCAAATGCATTTATATAGTCTAAAGCATTCTAACTTTTAGAAATATAAAATTTGAGATAAAGTGTGGAATTAACATCTTAATAAAATAAATTAAAAAACGAATTGATCATATCTTTAGTCACGAAGTCATCATATCACGAATGGTTGGATGAACTAATATGACCAAAACTTATCACGGAATCATCATATTTTAAATTAAAGAATATCAATAAAACCAAATGGAAAAATTGTTGCAAATAACCTCGCGCGTGCGTGGGCTTCCAAACCTAGTTCGAAATAATCATTCCCATACAACAACAAAAAAGGTTAAAATGAGTTCAATAATCATGTAAAAGAAACAAATTATTTATGTCGCTTAAAATTTAAACTGATCGATTATAATTAATACAACAGTATGATATAACTTTTAGTCACTAGACTGACCATATATATGAGTTCGTTACAAGACCTTCTCTTATAGTAGTTTCTTGCTTCACTTCCTTGGCTCTTCTCAAAAACAACCGATGCGAGAAAGTAGCAAGAAGCAGCGTCCGCCAAAACTAAGCCTTTGCATTCTTCGGATCCACTCTCCTAGCTAACCACAACGCATAGATGATAGACCGCTTCACTCACGTGTACTGTCACCACAATCATGGAGCTATCCGCAAATCCAACATCGACCTGAAGATAAAAAGCACAATGGTTCCAAGGAACGGTATGGGTCCAATATCCCGTAGCACGCGACCGATAGAATGCTAGGCAAACCAATCACACAGAAAAGCCGTGCGTATATGCTCGGTCCATCAAGCTCTCTTCTCTTCTTGTCTTTAATATGAAATGGTTTCGGTCATGGCTTCTTCCGGGTGTGTCTTGGGCTCGTACCCTAGTTCCTCCTTGGCTTTCTCGATCGAGTAGTAATGAGTCACACCGACCTGTTCCGTGAAGAAATATACTATAAGCTCAAGCAAATATTTTTTCTTGATTACCAAAAAACTCGATTTTTCTTGATTACCAAAAAACGAAAAATAAAGGGTTAGTTTGCATATAGGGTAGTTTTTATGTTTTTATTAGAGATTTGGGAGGGTCAATGTTTTTATTAGAAAAGTGGGTAAAAGCAAGTTGGACCAATGTTTTTCAGACGGTTATAGCCCTCTTCTTTAGAGAGAGACAGAGTGAATTGAAACAGGGGGTGTAGAGAGAGACATGAACAACAAAAAGTGGGACGTGCATTTCACGCGGCGTGAGGAGAGGAGATGTTTGGTGGGGCCCAGTTTGTCATAAGATATGCCATGACAATATCACTAAATTTAAAAAAGAAATATTTAGTTGAATAACATTAATTATGATTGGATTTAATTCATTTCATATACAACATCCAATAATACCTTCTAAGACTCAAATTAATAAAATTTTGGGTTGGATTTATTAATCCATATTAGTATCTAGTTTTGAGTTTAAGAAATGTTTCCATTTTATGAAATGTTAACGAGAACACGATATATATAATTTTGATTAAATGGTAACATTGTAATTTTTCTAATATGCTAAAGGAAAAGTAAAATAAATTTTCAACAAATAATGATATACTTTTACGTTAGCATTAGTCATGTACACTAAATATTTAGTGTACACCAAATATTGTACACTAAATATTTAGTGTACACCATATATTAAGTGTACGTGTTATATGGTGTACACTAAATATTTAGTGTTCGACGATGTATGCACAAAAATATTAAACCCTAAATGTTAAACCATAGGGAAATAATTAAAAATCTTAACCCATAAATATTAAACCCTAGTTAAGGATTGATGAACCCATGGGAAAAAAATCATATATCCTAAACCCTAAATACGAAACCCTAGTCAAGAATTGATGAACCCATGGGAAAAGTCATAAAATCTTTAAATACTAAACCCTAGTCAATGATTGATGAAACCATAGGAAAACAATTATAAATCCTAAATACTAAACCCTAGTCAAGGATCGATGAACCCATAGGAAAAAATTAGAAATCCTAAACTCTAAATACTAAACCCTAATCAAGGATTGATGAACCCATGGGGAAAAATCATAGATCCTAAACCCTAAATACTAAACCCTAGTAAAGGATTGATGAAACCATAGGGAAACAATTAAAAATTCTAAAACCTAAACCCTAAATACTAAATTCTAGTCAATGATTGGTGAACTTATGAAAAAATCATAAATCTAAAACCCTAAATGATAAACCTTAATTAGTTAAGGATTGGCAAATACATGGAAAAATATTATAGTGGTATGAAGTTTAGAGATTAGATTTAGATTTAAAGTTTAAGGTTTCAAAACATAAATTTAGTTTTGGCCAGTTTTTAAATATACCACTAAAACCAATTTTTTTTTAATAGCACATTTTTTCAAATGAGCCCCATAACAGTTTTTTATTTAAGTCCGTTTATGGTGTATAGGTCAATATATGATCTAATACTTATAGCTATCTTTAAAACATTAAAATATATATATATATATATATATATATATATAACTAAATATGTAATGTACACCATATTTAGTGTATGTGTTATAGTGTATACTAAATATTTAGTGTAGCATAGTGTACACATGAAAAGTATGTTATGTGTTATATAATGTATACAATGGTATGTTAATATATAAATGCATGCCACTAATTTTAGTGATACGAAATTTAGAGATTCGATTTAGGTTTAAAGTTTAAGGTTGAAAATCTTAAATTTAGTTTTGGCCAATTTATTTTGTCTTCGACCTCATGATCAAATTCTAATCTAATTGAAATATTTAATTATAATATCACCATAATCTAACACAAGTCTCATAAAGAAATAGTCTTCAAGTCCGTCAGGTCCGTCAGAATGATTGTCAGAGTTGGTCCGATCTAGACCTTCGATATATTTGCTCCTTAACCTGCACCAGAAGCAACCGCCGCCACAAATATTGAATGCGTTTCGTCGCGCTGAAACCTCCTCATCCCTTCCTTGTTCTCCTCGCTTCTAGCAACCGCCGTCATATCCTCGATAATTCAGCTCCGCGAGTCCTTTACGATCAGCGAGAAAAGTGGAATTGCGCCTAACCAAATCATTGTCTATCAGAATATACAATTATTCTATGAAGACACATTGATTCCATGAGTCACACTTCTTCGATGTGCATTGCAAGTAATAAAAGTTTTAACAAGAGTACAAGACAATTGATTTGATCGAGAAAGGAGGTAGGAGAGAAGAAGAAAATTAATTTAAAGAAAAAAAATAAATATAATGGCATTGTGGTTATTACATTAGAATGGGAAGGGTGTAAATTAAAGCCAGAATAGTGTTTTACCCAGTTTCCCAATTAAGACATTGACCCACCCAGTTCCACAATTACAAACACAAAAACTACCTATCTGGCAAGTTTCTCAAAAATAAAATAAAAAATCATTGTTATTCTCAAGATTACTCTCTAACAAACTTTATAAATTTCAGGTGGAAGAATCAATGGCTGTGGAATCCACGGTTGGTTCAAAAATGGAGATAGCATAAATTATTTATCTCCTACATTTTTTTCTATCAATAATCTTAAATATGATTATCTATACTATTAAAATGGAAACAATCCAGAGTGCATGCTGGAGTTATTCTTGTAACCAAACAGAGAATTATCCCAATTATCCGAATTTTTAAGTATAACCCGGAAGAAAACCGGGTCAAATCCTGTTAAAAAGACAATTTACCCCACGCTTTTCAAATGAGATTTTTTTGGAGAGACGTCATTTCTGTCCAGGGTATATTTCGGACCTTTGCTGTTTGGAAACAGGTTTAAGCAGAAAAAAAAAGTGTCAAGTGTAAAAAGGGGCTACACGGCGGATCTTCGACCCGGCCCGCAAAAAAACACGCGGATTTAAGGGGAACTTAAATCAGACCGGAACAATTAAAGCTACGGTTCAAGACTATAACCAGACGTAACCAATATTCTAAAACAGAAATTAATCCCCGTTTTTGAAAAAGAATATACGACAATCCAATGAAAATCGGGTAATTAACTTCTCCAGCTGAAAATCCAAGCTTCTTTCCAGAAAATGCACCTAATAAATCAAATCACATATTTACTAATAGTCTAATCCACACAAAATCAAAAGAGTCTTACCAAAAATTACGCTACTTAACAAATGACAGTATGGAAGATACCTAATTTACAAATGTATTAAGTGCATAACAACAATAACAAAGATACCTAATTTAAAAACAGCAATAACAACTCAAATATCCAGACACGCAAAATCTAAAATGTTTAATCATGTACTAAGCACACAAAAGTGGCGATATTATATCAATCATGTACTAAGCACACAAAAGTGGCGATATTCATATTATAGGATATTAAATTTGAAAATAAGTTACCAAACAGAACAAACCAAAGATTCTTCTGTAAATATCCCTACCAAATTGTATCAATAGAAGATTATCTAACAAGCTAAATAAACCGTGTGATAATATCTTTAAACCATATTTGATTACAAACCTAATGACCAAACTATAAATATATCGCTCACAGGGTCATTGTTACATACCTCAAAATTGCTAATGATTTTTTCTTCGGTCTGATTTGATGTTTACTAATCACGTTTTCTGGATGTAGGGGAAGTCATGATGGAAAAGCAACAAAACCTCTTTCTTGAATAACCATGCAACTAAGTACGATCAAAGGTTAGTCCTTATCTATGAGAGATCTGGTCAAGAAAATAGATATTGCTCCTTATTATTTCCCATACCTTTATGATGATGGCAAGCTTTTCAATATAGGTTGGTGAATCCAAGTTGAGCTTCTTTGGAAGCAATACACGTCCGCATCAGGAAAAATGAAGCTAATCCTAGCAAAAGAAATTGTAAGTCAACATGATATTACATGATATTATAGATTATTAGAGATTTGTACACGTTTTCAGTTCTGAAATCTTAATCTTAATCTGTCTTGCAGGGTATTTAAACACAGGCTTATGAATGTCACCATACCTTCTTCTTTTTTCCATCATCACAATACGAAAGATTTTTGGTTATCAGTTTTAGCTGACACTAAGGAATAAGGAGACTACGGGTCCAACAAGAAAGTCAGTGTTTCAAGGTGATCCCATCATTGAAGTAGAACAAACCATGAACCAAAGCTATTATCATACATTGTTTACCATGAGAGAGAGCGAAGCTTACAAAGAGAGGGATCCGGAGTAGCTAAATGAGTAGCTAAATCATCACAAAGATCCCATTCCTGAAAAAAATTACACCAAACTCACTTTAAGTGCTAACTATGTAGTAAAGGTGACCTAGAGAAGAATGAGGGATATATACTTCAAAAACAGATCTTCTCCTTTGATCCAAGATGTAGAACAAAGAAAAGACAAAGAACCAACCCTGCCGAACAAGAACCACATCTAAATGTGTCAATCGAATGAATAAGAACAACGGAGAATAAAATCTCATGCTTAGAAAAATTTATGACTTGAATCGGAATACAAATGCAGGAAATAAAAGAATTTGATTCATAAGAAAATTGATCAAGTAGGAAACCAATTTTTTCCTTTGATCCGGTATGAGAAATGTAATTGAACATACATGAATTACCTAAAGTGAATACACGATTTGCAAAAGCCAATCATCTAAATGTTATCAATAAGGTTTTGCCTCAAACTTGAATCTCAACCATTTATTATCATCACAATACTAACAATCTATTGTGATGAGTTTTAACTTATACTATGAACATACAAAAAAAATAAACAGAGAAAAACAGGTTCAACAAGGAAATCAGACAGTGAAGACACGATTTGCAAAAGCCAGCAACTAAAGCTTAGTATATTATAAAGTTTTGGTAAAGAGGCTTGCGTCTTAATCTTTTAACATCACAATACTAATGATTTATGTGTTTAGCTGCCACTATGGATATACAAAAACAGAAAAAAAATAATAATAATAATAAAAAAAACTGAGGGACATTTTCACATACGGTATCCATTTAGTTTACCTTGCTTAACATGCTTTCTGACAAAGTTAGAGTTACTTTTAAATAACCTTACAAATAGGATCAATAAAATTAGGATATCATTGTTTCTTTACTAAAACAATTAAGAAACCTATATTAATTCTTATATTTCAGTCTTGCATCAAGAGATCAAAGCTCCTCAGACATCAACCTTGATGACCGTAACACTGAAAAAGATACATCTTCTACATAGAATCAAACAATATCAAACCAACCGATGCGGTAGACGAGGAGAAGTACAATCGGTGATCTACTGCTATATATATATTTTAGAATGTTTCTTGGTTTAAATAACTAATTTTTATGCACTCATGCTATCGCTTTAGTTTGGTACTATTTTCTACTTTAGTTTCAAATTATTCAATATTTTGTATGTGCTTTGAATATGATAGTTCAGAATTCTAAAATATTGTCCAACGATATTGAAAGAATATCAGTTTTGCTATGTAGTCAATTTAAAATGAGAAAGACATACGTTGGACCTTTCCTCTCTACAATTCTCCTTCATTGAAAAGAGTGAGAAATTGCTTAGTTGGAACCAAAAAACATTGTTATCGGTGACGAGGAGAAAGTAACTCATCCAGAAAAAAATATTAAAAGCTATCATGTGAACAGCTATCAAAGACTAGCTAGAAAGTAGACTATATGAGCTATCAAAGGAAACAAGAAAGTGATCACTTATATGATTGTAGCAAAACAAAAGAGAGGGAATTTGTCAGGAGAATGCAAATGCGCAAGTTCATAGGGAAAAAAATTAATTGAAGAGATAGTTGATTTTTTTTACTTGAGGTCTCGAGATGCTGGAGAAGACAGAATTGAATCTCAATTGCCTCAAGAAGAATGGAGATTCATTCAATTCATTGTTATTAATCATGCAACGGGTCTATACATGAAGCTTTTAATGGACTGGTCTGTACCTGCCAACATCGGTATGGAGAAGCTGCGGAGAAGAAATTATGAAATAAAAAAGTATGACTTGACTGGATTATGTAAATCAAAAGCGATTAAGGCGTGAAGAAGATGATGCTGCTTGAAGGTGTTTACCTAGATCCAGCTTTGGAATGAATCAATTCTGATTGGCAATAAGTCGCTGAAATTTGTTGTGTGCATCAGAGCTAAATCGGCAGGATCGCGAATTGCAGATATGAGCACCATCATCAGTGGAGTACAATCTCGAATCCCATGAGAAGCAAAGCATAAAGTTTGCAGATTAAGAGAGATATTGCTTCGATGAAGAACCTAGGTGAGGTAAATGAAGATGCAGCTGGTTTGACGCAGATCGTGAATCAGTCAGGAAGTGCATCAGGACATGTAGCGGAGCTTAACGGAGCTAAAGGATTGATGCTGAGCTGGATGCGAGCTTGTAGCGGTTAAGGACGAATCCAGAAGAGGCGGTAGCTGAGCTGGATGAGGAGATTTGGAATTATCAAGACAAAAGGAATATTTCCTATTCTTAGAGAAAAATAAGGAAAGGAAATATTCCCTTGGAGATTTGGAGTAATCACCAAGACACAACCTTGTAGGGTTTGGCGGTTCGTCTATTGAGGATAAATAGAGGACCTTGGCTGCTTGGAAGCGGCTATCACAAATATTGAGAGCTTTAGACTTTGGGTTTAGATCATCTTGTAAGAGAGCTAGGACAAAGGGTTAGGGCTTGAGAGGTTCGAAGATCGTGGATAGATCTGAGAACAGAGTGTTACTAGAGCAATCAAATCGTGGATAGATTGTGGTTGTCAATTCGTTTAAGCAATACTTGTAAGTTACACTTAAAGAATTTCTAGTAATATATTTCTTTGTAGAGAAATCCCTTGTGCCAATTTGTGATCTACTTCCATATCAATAGCCCTTGGTTTTTCAATTGGTATCAGAGCAGTCACCTTGCGTGTATTGCTATAGCAGGTGAGATCTTGCGGAATGGAGGGCTATCACCCAGAGCTGAAGGTGATACTTGATGATGGAAACTACACGTACTGGAAGGCGAGGACGAGAGCAAATATTCAATGTATTGATGAGGCCTGGTACTTGACTGAACATGGATGGAAACCACCTACAGTCACGATTGAAGGAGTAACTACAGCGTGCCTCGAGAACGCTGGACTACAGCCCAACGTGATGATTACAAGTTCAATGCTAGAGCACTGGCACAGATCAATGGTAGTTGCTCAAAGAAACAGTTTGAGCTGATTCAGGGCTGTACTAGTCAAAGGAGGCGTGGGATATCCTCCAGATCCACTTTGAAGGGACAAGTCAAGTTCAAAGCTCAAGGAAGGATCTATTGGCAACTAAGTTTGAGAATATGAGGATGGAGGAACATGAGTCAATTGCTGACTTTAGCTCGAAACTTAGCTCACTCGTTCAGGAGTCTCGTACCCTGGGAAAGGTATACAAGGATGCTAAGTTAGTGAAGAAACTTCTTCGGTGTCTTCCAGACAAATTCACAGCATACAAGGCTGGACTAAGTGCAAATCCTATCTTTGACGATCCTATGACGAGATGGTGGGAAAACTGCAGCTACACGAACTGGAACTAGGAGGTGTCAAAAAGGCTAAGGGTATTGCACTCATATCAACGGAGAAACAGTTGGAAGAAGAGCCTGAAGAAGACAGTATCAGTCTCTTGGTACGTCGCTTTGACAGAGTCTGAAGAAGTATGAAACTGGAAAAACTCAGCCTCGTGTCAACAATGGAAGGAAGCCTATGACAAGAACGAGGGGGCGAGTAAAACCGAGTCACAGTGTCATGAATGCAAGGGATATGGACACTTCAAGACCGACTGCCCCACTGTCAAGAGGAGAAGCATTACTTGCTACAAGTGCAAAGGAATAGGTCATACACAACAAGAATGTGAGTATGATGAGAAGATGGGGAAGTCGATGATGGGCGTTGCTGATGAAGATTCTGAAGGAGAGTCTGAAGATGAGGAAGAAGTCAGTAACTTTGTCGCATTTGCTGGAATTGCTGAAATAGAAGATACAAAGATCTCTGAATCTGACCAAGAGGATACTCACAGATGATGAATCTGAAGTTGATATCCATGAAAGCTATAAGGAAGTTCGTAATGCCTTGGTAGAAGTTGGGAAGGAAAACATTGAGCTCAAGAAGGAGAATACTCGTCTTACTGCACGAGTTGACGAACTTCAGAAAGCACTTCAAGCCGAGAAGGATCTCAACATGGATAATCTTAACATCGTGCTTGAAAAGATGGATGCAGTTAAACGAGCAGACGACATTACCAAGGAGTACTTTCTGGAAAAGGAGAATTCCAGAAATCTACAAGCTGAATTGGATCAACACAGAAAGCAACTCAAGATGCTGACTGGTACTAAGGAACTCGACAAGATTCTGAGCATTGGCCGTGTAGGGAAGTCAAATCTTGGTCTAGGATACACAACCAGCAGTGTTACAACTGGCAAGAATGTCAAGTTTGTCTCTGGAGGGTTGGCTCAGGATGTCCATCAAGCAGATACTAAGACACCAGCTCAGAAACTTGATTCCATTCTCAAAACTGGGAATCGAGGGAAGAGCACCATGGGACTGGGATATGATTCTTCTCCAACTCGCAATCCGAAAGGATTTCAGAGTCCAAGAGGAAAACATCAAGGAAAGGAGTGCTATTTCTGTGGGTCCTTAGGACATATCAGGGCTTTCTGCAACAAGTACTGGGCTAGAGTCGACTATGCATGGAAACGAGGACGCTATCATTGGAATCGTCATCTAAACCAGTTCTTCATCAGAAAATCGGATCTATATCAGAATCCTGCCCGACGTACATCAACTGGTGGTTCAAGACAGCGTGTCTACTCCAACATGGCCTTACTTGAAGAAATCGACGAAGCTGACAACACTGGACCATGGTACTTCGATAGTGGATGCTCCAGACACATGACAGGAGTCAAAGAAAATCTTCAGGAAGTGAAGAAGCTAAAAGGAGGGAAGGTCACTTTTGGATGTGGAACCAAAGGGAATGATTCAAGGCAAGGACGCACCTCTGATGAGCAACCACAGCTTATGAACGTCTATCTCGTTCAAGGTCTGAAGTCAAACTGATCAGTGTCAGCCAGCTTTGTGATGAAGGTTTAACGGTCTGGTTTAACAAGATAGAGTGCAAAGCCATTGACTCTGACGGAAAGACAGTCTACGAGGAGTTCGTTCAGGCAACAACTGCTACATGTGGGATCAATCTGCTAAGTGCTTAAGTGTCCGAGATGATGTTGAACTATGGCACAAACGATTGGGTCACATGAATGTTCGACATCTCACCGACTTGGTGAATAAGGAGATTGTTCGTGGTGTTCCGAAGCTGAAGGGAACTGAGAAACTTGTATGTGGTCCTTGCAATCAAGGAAAGCAAATCAAGGTCCAGCACAAGAAGGTGGCAGATGTACAATCCAAGACTGTTTTGGACTAGTACACATGGATGATGGGACCAATGCAAGTGGAGAGCATTGGAGGAAAGCGCTATGTCTTTGTTCTAGTGGATGATTACTCGCGATACACTTGGGTCCGCTTCATTCGTGACAAATCTGACACCATGGCGAGTTTCAAGATTTGGGCTCTTCAAGTTATCACTGAGAAAGGAAGCCTCAAGCGCATACGCAGTGATCATGGGGGAGAATTTCAGAATGAGGTCATGACTAAGTTCTGCAATGAACAAGGCATAGCTCACCAATTTTCGGCACCTAGAACACCACAGATGAATGGAGTAGTGGAGCGAAAGAACAGAACACTTCAAGAAATGGCGCGTGCAATGATCCATGGAGGAAACATTCCTGTGAAGTTTTGGGCTGAAGCAATCAACACCGCATGCTACATCATCAACCGTGTTTACATGAGAAAGGCTTTACTCAAAACTCCTTATGAGTTGTGGAAAGGAAAGACACCTAACTTAAGTTACTTTCGTGTTTTTGGATGCAGGTGTTCATTCTGAATGACAAGGATCAACTTGGAAAGTTCGACTCAAGGAGTGATGAAGGCATATTTCTGGGTTATTCAGGCAATAGTTCAGCCTACAGAGTCTTCAATCTTCGGTCCAAGATGATTATGGAGTCAGTCAATGTTGTTTTTGATGATCGATCAATTGCGGCCATGGGAGACTCTCCAATATTTCATGAACCAGAAGTCAGCGAAGCAGAAACAGAAGCAGAGGAGGTTCGTGAAGAAGAAGAAAAGGTTCATGAGGAAGTCTCTGACACAGCTCCTGATGTAGGTCTCCCACTGACACAAGTTCACAGAAATCATTCCTCGAACGATCTGATTGGAGACATCACTGAGCCACGAAGGACGAGAGGAATCAAGATGAACTATAAGCAGATGGTCAGCATGGCAATTATCCAATTTGAGTGCTTTGTCTCTGCCATAGAGCCACGAAATCATCGTGAAGCACTGGAAGATGCAGATTGGATCATCTCCATGGAAGAGGAACTAGAGGAGTTCGTGAGAAACGATGTATGGGAGTTAGTGCCACTACCTGATGGTGTGAATGTGGTCGGTACAAAGTGGATCTTCAAGAACAAGACAGATGATGCTGGAAGCATTGTACGAAACAAGTCAAGACTTGTTGCGCAAGGTTACTCACAAGTTGAAGGAGTCGACTTTGATGAAACCTTTGCCCCTGTAGCTCGTCTTGAGTCTATCAGACTGTTTCTAGGGATGGCATGCATATTGAACTTCAAGGTGTATCAGATGGATGTGAAGAGTGCTTTCTTGAATGGCATTCTACAAGAGGAAGTATATGTAGCCAACCGAAGGGGTTTGAAGATCCTACACATCCTGATATGTGTATAAGCTCAAGAAAGCTCTCTACGGACTGAAACAGGCTCCAAGAGCTTGGTATGAGCACCTGACGAAGTTTCTGATTGACACAGGCTACGTCAGAGGAACTGTGGACAAAACCTTGTTCACACTTGAGAAGAAGAATGAGATGATGATGGTGCAGATCTATGTAGATGATATCATCTTTGGAGGAACTTCAGAGAAGCTGGTGGAAAACTTTGTGAAGAGTATGACTAAGGAGTTCAAGATGAGCATGGTGGGAGAGTTGAAGTACTTTCTTGGACTTCAAGTGAATCAGACTGAGAAAGGAATTTTTATTTCTCAAAGCACCTATGCCAAGAATCTACTGGTGAAGTTTGGTCTTGACAAATGCAAGGAGGCAAGAACACCAATGAGCACCACGACAAAGATTGGAAAGGATGAACAAGGAGAAGATGTTGATGTGAAGCTTACAGAGGAATGATTGGAAGCTTGCTTTACCTTACAGCAAGTCGGCCTGACTTAAGCTTCAGCGTTGGAGTGTGTGCTCGTTATCAGGCCAAACCAAAACAGTCCCATCTTCAAGCGGTGAAGAAGATCTTGAGGTATGTCAAGGGAACTGTCAATCTGGGGATCTTTTACTCCAAAGGATCCAACAGAAATCTTGCTGGATATTGTGACGCCGATTGGGCAGGATGTGCAGATGATCGGAAAAGCACAAGTGGAGGTTGTTTCTTCCTTGGGAACAATCTTATTGCTTGGCTTAGCAAGAAGCAGAATTCTGTGTCACTATCTACTGCAGAGGCTGAGTACATTGCATTGGGAAGCTGCTGCACACAGCTTATATGGATGAGACAGATGTCAGCCGATTATGGGATGGAGTCTGGACCCTTCTTGGTCTACTGTGACAACAAAAGCGCCATCGACATATCAAAGAATCCGGTGCAGCACTCAAGGACTAAGCACATTGACATAAGACACCACTTTGTTCGTGAATTGGTGGAAGAAAAACAGGTAGTACTTGAACATGTTGTCACAGATTTACAGCTCGCTGATTTATTCACAAAACCATTGGACTTTAACCGTTTTGTCACCTTAAGAAATTCCATTGGAATTTGCACAAGTGGTTTTGAATGATGCAGGGGCTGATACAGGCACTGGCTCGGGGTGTATAACAAGTTCAGATTTTGTTTGGAGTCAAAGGTGCCAATGAGGATCAGCTACTTTGTCATGCCGTCATGTCACCTCAACATAAGAAAAGTGAAAAGTAAGTGATTCTAAAAGCATGTTCAAGGTCAAAAAGCAGCTGAGCCAACTCCAAATGAATGCAATATGATGGAGATGGCTTGCTGCTTCAAGAACCAAAAAGTGATTCAATGAGCATAACAGGAAATGTGATGAACTGACAACAATAGCTCACAAGGCTAAGTTGGTTCATGTGATTTCTCGAAAGACAATGTTTCACAAGAACAAAGTCTGACGACAGAACTAAGAGCTTAATTGGAAAGGGGATGGACTTGACAACAATAGCTCACAAGGCTGAGTTGGTCCATGAGCTTTCTCGAAGGGTAATGTTTCACAAGAACAACATCCAACGACAGAGAATGATCACATGTTCTGCCTTGAACAAAATAAAGAGTTTCACTTTGCACATCATTGGAATTAGAGGTGGTGATATGATCTGGGTATGACAAAGTGAAAGCTGCAGGTTGGAATCAGGATGGCCAAGCGCTATGAATCTGTTGAGAATTTGTAATACATCCTGATGCAAGTGCCGACTCAGTCAATGTCTCCTTCACTAAAATGAAAGGTATTTAATTTGAGATAAACTGAGTAAAAATGTTTTTAAGCTGAAAAGATGTGACACATGGGATGGTATTGCTTGTTTGGATTCTACTTGAATCGAATTTTATGTGGATGTCACAATTTTATCCTAAGTGTGTACTGCTGATATTGGTGCTGAATGTTACAGGAAGTCAAGCAGGAGCTCTGGATTTCTAAACCAATTAATCCGGCTGATTTATGTTTTTAATTCCTAATTCCGGTTTGGTTTAAGTGGTTTCTCGATGCAGGAGATATAAAAGGGAAAAAGAAGGAAAAGGGAAAGTCAAATCGACTTCGATCGAAAACCCTAGATTTTCTCCCAAATCGATTGAAGGAGTCAATCGTGATTCATGGTCACCGCGACTCAAGGAAGAATCCGTCCAATCCAAAATCCTTATAAGAAGTACAGTGACGGATCCGCATTTACTCCGGTGCAAATCAACGAATCCTCCACCGAAACCCCGATCTCGAACTCTCTGTCGCTACTCTCAAACATGCAAGAAGGAGCCATCGACGAAGTGACTGAATCAGTCTTTCGAATTGTTCCTTATGACGATGAATCGGAAGAAGAAGGAGGAGAGATCCCGGCGGTGAATAAGCCCAAGAATCCCGAAGACGAGCAATCGACGAAACCGACGGATCTACGAGCCACCAAAACCCTAGATCCGCCGCTAACTGAAGAAGCGACTGGAGAAGTGGTCACAACACCTCCGGTGGTGACCGTCGAAGTAGAGTCAAGCACCACCGCGATGACGATTCCGGAATCCAACTCTTCGATTCCGCCACCAGATCCAAAATCAGTCGCTTCACCATCTCGAATCGAAGACGAGGAGACTCTTGACGAACTCAATCCGGGTCAACCTTTCAGGTCTGAGCAGAGAGAGGTATCGCCTGATCCTCTGACCGATACGGCGCCGAAAATTCCTTCGCCACCTCTCCTTCACTCGCGATATGCTTCCTCCGATGAACACCAGAGCGAAGACGACGTGTGTCTCGATTCACGAAAAAGGAAGGTCCTTCGCTCCACCGGTCTTCCACCTCCGTCAAAGAAGCAGAAGGCTCAAACTGCTGCAGCGTCTTCCACACCACCTCCTAAAGCCGCCAAGCCTCATTCTACTCAGGGGAAGAAGACGCCGACTCATGCTAGTACTCGCGCTAAAGGCAAGGCGAAGCAAACCTCAGTACCAAAATCCAAGAAGAAGGCATCGGTTGACAGGTTTGCAAGCTTTAAGTCTCGTGGAATCATAGATGAGAGGATTTTTGATTTAAAGGTTGAATCACATTGGGGATATCCTGAGATTATCATTAGAGGAGGTTTCAAGTCTACGGTGGTGGGATTAGGATGCTATGTTCGATCATTGATAGTAGATTTCTACTCGGCCTTACCAGAGACCAGAGATGAGAGTGTCAAGCTTCTGATTCGGAATCAGGAATATGTGTTCTCTCCGGCCGTCATCAATGAGTTTCTTCGATTGCCATCACTGACTGAAGAGGAGATGAAGCAGGAAGCTGACGCAGATTCCGTCAGCATGAAGGAGTTGGCTCAGCTTTTCACTGATAATGAGGAGGCCGAGTGGTCTGAGATCTATACGCTGGGACTGACTCCGTGTTTTGCTGCTCTGGTCATTGTGGCTTCACACAACTGGCTTCCTTCCACTCACAGGAACCATGTGTCAGAGGAGCGAGCCAAGATCATCTACAAGCTTTACAAGGGAATTAGAGTTAACTTTGGTCAGCTTATGTATGATCAGGTGATGAGCATGGCCAGGTTTGAAGTCAACGAGTCTCGCTGGCTTGTGTTCCCGCGTATCCTCTATGGTGTTCTTCAGATGCAAGACCCTCTTCCTTTGATTGCTGGAGATTCCATCTGTCGACCTCTGCATTACCACAAAGACAAGAGGTCTGGCAAAGAATACCAGAAGCGAGAAGAGGACAAGAAGAAGAAGGAGTCAAAGGCGTCTGCATCTAGAGTTTGTCCTCCAGCAGAGTCTGCATCAGAATCTACTTCAGAAGGATTTGTCACGGTGGAACTTGGGTCTGTTCGTTTTCCTACTCCTCCACTTCAGCCGGCAGCTGCGATTTAGGCACTCAACGACATGGTCTACACTCTCCATAACTTCACTGGAGTCACTACAAGAAAAAGGGGATATTGTTACGTTTTTTTCAGTCATAATAAGCATAATTTCGTAACAATAAAATCATAGTGACGGAAATGTGACGATTTGTTATTGGTAGCAATAAAGTCGTCACAAATATTATTGAGTAACAAAAACGTCACAGATTTATTACTAACACATTGAGTTACTATTTCGTCAGCACGGGTGATAAAAACCAAAAGTAACAAAACAGTCACGGCTAGTGACTACTGACATCGTAACAACGCCGTCATATAATGTGACTATTATAAGGTCTCGATTATGTCACTTATTATGACGCAATTATAGTCCCAAATCGCCACTAATAATGACTAACGTATCGTTGCTTAATCGTCACACTTAATTACTAAAACTTAGTCCTTAAATCGTAAACAAATGTGACTATTACAATGTCTCAGTTCTGTCACTTGTCTTGACGAACGTGTAGTCACAAACCGTAACCAGTATTGACGTAAAAATGTCACATTTTCGTCTAAATTATCAAGTGATTTTGTTTTATTGATTACAAAATTCTTTTTAGAATGATGTATGCATTTAACCTTTTAATTTTTTTTTACTAAAACGTAATATAATCTATAAATAAATTACCAAAAAAAAATATTCAATATAAATGTGTCTTCATTGAAAAAAACATACAGAGTCTAAAGCCATAAGCAACCAAACTAAAGCCATGCTACATAGCATGACCATACAAAGTAAAAAAAGATATTCAATAAAACAAGAAAACAAACTAAAAATCATGCAAGGAGGTTTAAATAAGTGGAGAAGCAGAAGTTCATGGAGTAGCAGGTTGACTCATTGAGTTTGACCAACTTCTCCACACCTTCGACTCGTTTCTGAATCAGAGCATCTTGAACTTTGGCATACGAACGTGAACCTGATCTGTGTCGATGTGGGCCGTAACCATCATGATTAAGCAGTCGAGCAGAACGAGCTTTCTCACTTATTTCTTTGGCTTTTGGTGTGCACCAATAATCTAACATGACTCTCCAATCTTCAGTCAAAATCCAATCAGGTTTTACTCTTTTGGATTTTGCAAGGCTAACCATTCTTTTGAGACGTGTAGCAGCAAGGTCATCAAAGTTGGCTTTAACAATATGTTCGACTGAGACATCGCACTCATAAATTGTCTAATATACAGAATATTATTAGTCAAATAAAGTAAAAAATCATTCATAAAAGGATACAATAAACACATAATTTAAGCACACCTTGAACGTTGAATACCATGCAGCTTTATAAAATTGGGGCACTCTTTTCCAGCTGTACCATGGTCCTTTGAAACACCCTTCAATGATTTTTCTAACTTTCGTTGACACTTCAATGTCTATTCCAAACCTGTTGCAAAGGTAATTAAATTGATTATATCAATATTTTATTTTACTTTTCTGTATATGTTAAAAGAAAACAATACCATTTGGCTCCATTTTTTCGAGATGGGTGGAGCACTCGACCATTACGTGCTGCGAGTGCAGCTTGTTCCCACTCCCTCTGTGCAACTTCTGCCCTCTCCCTCTGTGCAGCATCTTCCCTCTCCCTCTGTGAACCTTTTTCCCTCTCTTTCTGTTCATTTGGTTCAGCTGAATTGGCAGGGTTTGGATTCATAAATCCAAGGGAATGAGATCTTATGGAACCAGCATGATTGGATGATTCTACTTCGTACAAGTGTCCGCCGATGAATGGGGGACGCATCTGTAATTGAAAAAAAATAAAATAAGAATAAGACTCCCTGTTTTACTCGGAACAAGAGACATGAATACCAAAGATAAAGGATTATAGGCAAAATATAAACGAAAGACAAAGGATTAGAGACATGAATCAGACCTTGAAATCACTGGTTGTGGAAAATCAAAAACCTAAGCGGGCGATGGCTGCGTCTGCTAAATAACTAGGGTAAACCATTAAAGATGGATATAACTCACTTTCTTTATATATTAGGTGAATTTTTAGGGTATTGGTCACGCTTAAATTTTAGTTTAGTGAAGCGCATAAACTTTAATATTTTTAACCGGGATTTTTTTACCCTCTATCTTGACCACAAAATTTGATCTTCCCTCTACGAATAGAATATCTTAATTCCAGAACAAACATAATTCTATAAATAAATATTATAAATTTGGTAATAATTCCATTACGAGCAATACTTTTTTTATTTGACAAAATTTCATTGAAAGTCCTTCTAACACTAAGTCACCTTGGGTTTGATTAATATTTTTTCGTTCACGTTCAAACTCCTATAGACAATCAAACAAGTCAATAAAATGGCACATAAAAAATTGAGATTTCAAAATCGTAAGAGCAACTTTTAAACCAAAGGAAAATGAAAAAGAGTACATGTTAATTATGAAAACGGAAAGCACAAAAAGAAAACATAAGAGATAGAAAAGGGTATATCCATCTAAATTGTAAGGATAGCTTCATAAGACAAATGAATTGCTAAATGTTCCATGACATAAAAAAATGATGGAGGAAATATTTTCTCCCAATCACAAAAACCGTACTAATGTTCTTCTGCAATATAGCGACACCTACAATATCACGATATGAAAGTTATTTTCATAACGTTCCACAGGCCGAGTACGTATCATGTTACTCGATTACTTCATAATAGAATAAAATCATCAATGAGACAACAATATGTAAATCACGATACAGAGGTCTATAAATGAATAGAAAAGTGCCAATTTATAGGTAAAAAAGAGAGAGACTGAGATCAAACCATCGATATAAGATTAATCAAACTAAAACTTTTAATAATGATCAAATCATAGGAAATAACAATAATTTTTAGAATCTCTATTATAAGTAGGAGTCCTATTCCAAGTAGGAGACCTATTCTAAGTAGGAATCATATTCCAAGTAGGATTACTATTTGGATTAGAATATTGATTTTAAGTAGGATTACTATTTTGATTAGAATAAGCTTTGTCTTACCCTCTATCGACTAAAGATCCTATTGCTAATTTAGAAAATCAAGAGGAAAGTATACATTTTTACATCTAAAAAATTAAACTCTATATATTTTTGTTTATAACAAAAGAAACTGTATGATTATGATTATATTTTGATAACTATCTCCTAAATATTATGACTCAATCAAATATTAGAAACATTATTTTTTCATTGAGACGGTTTTGTTACATTTTTAGTTACAACTTATAACGTGTTTTTAAGTTGTACTAGTTAATGACTAACATTTAGTCATTTTTTTCGTTATAAATTGACACTAATTATTCATCACAAGTTTGTAACAAAGTTGCTACTATACTTTGTCACAATATTGTCACAGTTGTTACGATGGTTACTACGGTCACAATTTCGTCACTAACGGTGACGAACTATGGTTACAAATTAGAACGTCACAAAAATTGTGACGTAATAGCTACCTTCATGTTACATAAAAATTTAGTCAAAAAATCGTATATAAAATGTCACAAATTCATGACGAATAATTTTTATAACAATATTTAGTCACAATATCTCTTTTTTCTTGTAGTGAGTAGTCCAAGGTCTTCTCGCCAACCTACAAGGTAAGTTGAATCTCTGCACATTCTTGTTCCATATGATTTTCATCTTGTGTTTTTAACTTGTGTGGTCTCACAAGCAGGGGGAGAACAGGATGAATCAGGGGATGAACCAGAGGACGAAAACTAGGACTTATGCTAGAATTGTGGGGGAGCAAGCTTTTGCGATGTTTTGCTCTGTTTTAAGTAGTTTTCGGTTCTAGAATTCTGGGGGAGTTGAGAGTTTTTGCTTTGGTTCTAACTCTTTTGTTTTTGGATGTTTAAACTCATAACTCTCATGTTCTGAATGATTTGAATATTTTGAATGTCTAATGATGAAGTATTCAGAACATCCCTGTTTTCTGGTTATCTCTGGTATGTGCATTGTGGATTTGAGTTTTACAGGTGCTTGTAAGACACAAAGCTAAAAAGGGGGAGATTGAAGATGCAACTGGTTTGACGCAGATCGTGAATCAGTCAGGAAGTGCATCAGGACGTATGTGTAGCGGAGCTTAACGGAGCTAAAGGATTGATGCTGAGCTGGATGCGAGCTTGTAGCGGTTAAGGACGAATCCAGAAGAGGCGGTAGCTGAGCTGGATGAGGAGATTTGGAATTATCAAGACAAAAGGAATATTTCCTATTCTTAGAGAAAAATAAGGAAAGGAAATATTCCCTTGAGATTTGGAGTAATCACCAAGACACAACCTTGTAGGGTTTGGCGGTTCGTCTATTGAGGATAAATAGAGGACCTTGGCTGCTTGGAAGCGGCTATCACAAATATTGAGAGCTTTAGACTTTGGGTTTAGATCATCTTGTAAGAGAGCTAGGACAAAGGGTTAGGGCTTGAGAGGTTCGAAGATCGTGGATAGATCTGAGAACAGAGTGTTACTAGAGCAATCAAATCGTGGATAGATTGTGGTTGTCAATTCGTTTAAGCAATACTTGTAAGTTACACTTAAAGAATTTCTAGTAATATATTTCTTTGTAGAGAAATCCCTTGTGTCAATTTGTGATCTACTTCCGTATCAGTAGCCGTTGGTTTTTCAGTAAGTCGTTAACCTGTGGAGATTATTTTTTTGGGTCCAGAGATAATATCAAGGTTTTCTAATTACGCAGATTTGGCTGGAGAAGAAGTCAAATGTCCTTTTCTTTTGGCTTCAAAGAAGAAACCATGGATGAGTTTTGTCAAGGGATTACCTGGGTTATACAAAACAGGTGGAGCTTGATTCTTCACAAAATGAACCGGCTATTGTTCACAGACTTTTAAGTTTTCCCTTAGTTTTCCCAAACAAGGTGGATTCCCAAATCGTTCAGTAAACTCAAGGATGAACGATTCCTTCATTATCATGAAAAGTTATTTGCTTGAGCTTTGGGGTTTACCTAAGATGGACCTCAAAGAACTCAAAATTGAAAATTGAATCTAGAGCATCTCTATTCTCGGTTGAAACTGATTTTTGCATGTCGTGGTTTCAGTTCAAACTAATGAAAACAATTGCAAATTTTGAGTAAAGATAAACAAGCCTGGAATGGGATGTAAAAGCTTCTGGAACTGAAACAGAAAAGTGCAGAAGGAGAAGCCAAAAGAGATGGTGTTCGTGAGAGAAACAAGAAAAAAAAGATTAGCATTCATTTTGATTTTTTTTTCTGCAAATGAACTTTTGTATCGCTAAAAAAAATAGTTAATCAATTTTAATTTCTTAACATATTTCAAACCACATAAATAATTCATTAATTTTATGTTTTTGATATATCTTCAACTACAATGTATCATACGGCTTTGAAGTATTTTAGCAAAAAATACAACTCTCGAAATCACAATGACATCTTAACTTAAAACAATATCCAATCATTTTAATGTAATTTTTGTTTAATTAACTCAAAGATTAGCAACATCACATGTCATAATCAACGTTCTTTTAACTCAGAGTTTTTTAGATTAGAATGAGTTTTTGCCGATTGTTACGAATTTTCTTACTCAATTTCGTAGGGAATGCTTTATATTCATTGGATTTGAAGTTACCAGAAAATAAAAACAAAGAGACAAAAGAATCAATTAAAACTAAGTGATTTTGCAAAAAGAAGGGGAAATAATCGATTCAACAGAATTACTAAAAGAATTTAACTTTTTCCTGATAATCAAATAGTTATTTTCTTCACAAATAAAAACAACGACTCGTAATAAAGAACATATATTGTCACAACAATATTTAATCAAACATATTTTGAATACAATATTGAATCTTAGAAATACAATGTTTACAAATTTAATTAACTCAATGGTTAACAACATCACGGGTCAAAGCTGACATTCTTTTAGATTTAAGTTTTTTGGGGAGACAGAAAGAAAGAACGGATCTGATCAAATATGAAAAGAGATTAAAATTGGGTACCTAAATATATTACCTTAAGTATTAATCGGAATAAATCAAAACATCGGATTTCAAGTTACCGGAGAATCAAAACAAAAAGACATAAAAATCATTTAAAATTAAGTGAATTTACAAATGAAGGAAATACTCAATTTAATAGAATTATGATTTATGTGATTAACTAAAAGAAATGCTAAATCGCTTCTATAAATAACTCTTCATCTTCGTTGATGATTACATGATGCCGATTTCTCCAAATTTCAAACTCCGATAAATCTTCATCTTCACGGATTTTCCATTGCGAACTTATCCCACTGGATCAGATAAAGTCAATTTCACATCATCACTAAAAAACTAAGGAATATATTTCTAGATATATTAGATGAAGTATGAATCAGACTGAAGCTTTGCCCGATTGTGACTAATTTCGTAGGGAATTCTTTATAGACATTGGATTTCACTGAAAAATCAAAACAAAAGGACATCAAGGTCAAGTAAAAAACCAATTTCGGATTCATTGAGATTTAATAATTTCCGGGAAATTGCAAAATCATTAAAATATGTTCTTCTGTATATAAGGAAAGAGTTTACGAAGAAGAAGATAATCAGAAGCCTAGGAGACGATGTGCTCATGGTAAGCCCAAAGAAGAAGAAGAGGATAAGTAGTAGCCATATGAAAGGAGGAAGAAGATCGGTGAAAAAGAAATCCAGGAAAATAACAAACGACGGTGTTCGGCTGGTTTTACAAAAATTAAGACATCCTCGGTTAAACTAAACCAAACCAAATCAATTTAAGAACATAATAATACAATTAAATTTTAATATTTAAAATCAATGTAAGATTACTTTTCAAAGAAATGGAAATAACTTTAAACGGAATGTCAAATGTGAAATATTATACAACATTATAACTCACCAAACGAAACCGAGTAAACCCGTAAAGCGACACATATTTATGTTATACTGTTCAGACATTGAAGCCGGTTTGATTATTTGTGCTAGGGGTTAGTATCTAACATGAAATTAAAACAATTTGTATACATATTTATTTAATCTCATACTTATATAATCAAAATATAACTCACCAAATGAAACCGAGCAAACCCCGTAAAACGACACATATGTATGTTATACTATCAACACATTGAAATCGGTTCGATTATATTTGCTAGGGTCAGTATCTACCATGAAATTATAACAATTTGTATACATATTTATTTCGTCTCATACTAATATAATCAAAATAACACTAATTCATCATCATATATCACAAACATATATACTATTATTTACATAATTACTGTATCAATAGTTAAAAACATTTTATAAAAATCGAAACATCCCGTGCTTCCCAAGCACGGGTCAGAATCTAGTCTATACTATTAAAATGGAAGCAATCAAGGGTGCATGATAGAATTATTCATGTCACCAAACAGAAAATTATCCCAGTTATCCGAATTTTAAAGTATAACCCGGAAGGAAACCCGGTCGGATTCTGTTAAAAAGACCATTTACCCCGACGCTTTTCAAAGAAGATTTTTTTGGAGGGAGGTCATTTCTGTCCAAAGCATATTTCGGACCTTTGCTGTTTGGAAATAGGTTTAAGCAGAAAAAAGTGTGTCAAGTGTAAAAAGGGGCTACACATCGGATCTTCGACCCGGCCCGCAAAAAAAAACACGCGGATCTAAGGGAAACTTAGATCAGAGAGGTGAAATCTAACTCGATTTGAAAACAAAACCGGACAAACATTCCAATCAAATGGATACGCTCGGATCCTTCGCCAAAAAATCGGGTTCTGTTTGTGGAAAGACGCTGATCTGATTCAAAAATAGGAAACAATATTAATTTCAAAAGATTATACAAACCACTCATTAAATCTGCAACTAATTATGACCCTATATATTCGGCTATTATGATTTATGACTGAATTTCAAAACAATGCAAAGATATCCAGCGTTTTGGGAACTTGAATATTCGGTGAACAGAAAAAGATTTCTGGAGATTAAAAAATAGCGTAATCTTAGCTTCTAACAGTATATTCGAAATTTATTGACGAGAAACCTAATGACCCATCTTGAAAAACTATAAATACACCATTCACAGGGTAATAGGAACACGCACATCGAGTTGCATATATCATTTTCATCTTCTATATTTCATGTTTACTAATCATATTTTGTTTATTTTCTTTTGAATTGTAGGGTTTATCATGAGTGGAAAAGCAACCAAAAGCTTTTCCTTGAATCACGAAATCCCAAATACCAAGCCAAAAGTTGCTATCAAAGGATAGTCCTATCCCATCCTCTATTATGCCATCATCTCAAATCTAATGACCCATCTTAAGAAACTATAAATATATCGCTCACAGGGTCATTGATACATCATACATACCTCCAAATTGCTAATGATTTGTTCTTCTGTCTGATTTGATGTTTATGAATCACGTTTTGTTTTGGATGTAGGGGAAGTCATGATGGAAAAGCAACAAAAACTCTTTCTTGAATCACCATGCAACTATGATACAATCAAAGGTTAGTCCCTAAGCCCTATCTATGAGAGATCAGGTCAAGAAAATAGATATTGCTTCTTATTATTTCACATACCTTTATGATGGCAAGCTTTTCAAAATAGGTTGGTCAATCCAAGTTGAGCTTCTTTTGGAAGCAATACACATCCGCATCTTGACAAATGGAGCTAATCCTAGCAAAAGAAATTGTAAGTCAACATGATATTATAGATTATTAAAGATTTGTACACGTTTTCAATTCTGAAATCTTATTCTCATAGTGTGATGTTCTAAGCTTAGTAACTTAGTGTGATGTTGTAATCTTTATAAGTGTGATGTTGTAAGCTTTATAAGTGCTTTTGATTCTAACATCTTAATCTCAATCTGTCTTGCAGAGTGTGAAAACAAAGGCTTTTGCAAGAAAGCATGCCAAACCCGGTTTGAAAAAAGAAAATTAACTGATTCAGTGAGTTACTTAACAGCATTTCATCAAGCTCCATTTGGATTCGGTTATGGAAACTTACCTAGAAATTGTGACGTTCTGTTTTTTAATATGGCTAATAATGCTCTTCCAATCACTCTTTGCAGGAACATGTGACACTCTTTGCAGGAACATGTGACTTCAAAACGGCCTGGAGAATTCAAGTTAAGATCTTGCACCTAGAGAAGCAATACACAGACACAGACGAAACTGTAAGGAATCAATCAGGAAACAATTTCTATATGTCTAATGTTTTCTGTTTCTGTAAGGGCACATCATTCAAGACAACGGAAGTGAGGGTTTAGACGAGACAAGAACTATTGTTCTTATTTACTTAGTTTGTAGACAAGTTTAATTTGATTTCAGATCACATGTAATAGAAATAAGTTAAGATCATGTCATTTTCTTTCATTATTAGTGTTCTAAACTTTTAAAGTGTTTATTGGAAATTCATATAAATATTTCTAAAAAGTCTACCTATGACATGAGAAATTTGCTTACCTGCGTTTTCTCATGAGGTGTAGTCGGGTTGATTGGAGATTGACTTCTTGGGTCTGAAATGTAGATGAAACAAGCATAAACAATATCAAGAATTTTTGGTTACACATAACAAAATAAGAAGTTAAATACCTTTTTCTTTGGGCTTCAACGAAGTAAAATCAGAGATGAATTCAAAAGATTACATGAGATTGAGCAATCGAGAAGAGAGATTGAGCATGAGGTAAAGTATTTTTACCTTGGTATTCCAAAGGAGAAGAAGATGATACACGTGTGGGTTATCATCTATTAAAAATAGAACAATTGTAAGACACTGAGTTGATCAGAGGCCTAAAGCTATAACAGAACAGACTCAGGAGGATCCAGTTTGTGGAAACAAAGCTAAAGATAATGGAAAAGCAAAGGAGGATAACCCCAGCTCTGATGAAGAGTTACAAGTTGATGAAGCTACGCTTAAAGAAATAAGAAGGCAAGAAGGTAACTACTTTACTTAGTATTTGTCAAAGAGGCGTAGTGGAAAAGGTTGTGTTTATTATTCACTTAGAAAGGTATATATAGTTACAAGTAAAACCCTAGAGAGAATATATGAAGTGCCATACAAGGAAATATATATATACAAGACAATATATCACAATACTCCCCCTCAAGCTGGAGCATGAAGATCACAAATGCTCAGCTTGGAAAGTAAGTGAAGAAGTTGAGCTCTCCCAAGAGCTTTGGTGAACATGTCAGCCGGTTGTTCTTCAGTCCCAATATGCGCCATGGTGATCAAACCGTCCGTAATGGCATCTCGAGTGATGTGACAATCAACCTCAAAATGTTTGGTTCGCTTGTGAAAAACAGGATTGGCAGCAAGTTGCAATGCAGATTGATTATCACAATGAAGAGGAATAGGACGATCTTGAGACAAACCAAAGAAATGAAGAAGTTTGCGAACCCATTTGATTTCACACACCGTATCAGCTAAAGAACAATATTCAGCTTCACAAGAAGAACGGGAGACAACACGATGCTTGATAGTTTGCCAGGAAATAGGAGAGCCACCAAGAAGCATAACATAACCGGTAAGCGAACGCCGTGTCGTAAGACAGGAAGCATAATCTGCATCAGAAAATGCTTCAAGGGAAATGGCAGAATTGGAGCGAAACAAGATACCTTGACTCGGAGCTCCTTTGAGGAATCGGACCACTCGTAATGCAGCTTCCCACTGCGATTGGCGAGGAGCTTGCATAAACTGGGACAGTATATGAACCGTATAAGCAAGGTCTGGACATGTAAGGGTGAGATATATAAGACGTCCGACGATACGACGATAACGCTCTGGTTCTGGAAAATATGCATTTGTAGCATCGGTCAAGTGATGCTTTTGCTCCATTGGAACCACAGACGGACGAGCACCGAGAAGCCCACACTCAGTAATAATATCCAAGGCATACTTGCGTTGGCACAGAAAAATACCATCTTCATTGCGAGCAATCTCGAGACCAAGGAAGTAACGTAGATGTCCTAAATCTTTCATGTGAAAACAGTTGCGTAGATATTCTTTGAAACTAGAGATATCACTAGGATCACTTCCACCAATAACCAAATCATCAACATACACCAAGACATAGAGATGACTATCTCCATTAATCAACGAGAAAAGAGATGTATCCGAAGAAGACTGTCGAAAACCATACCGTAAAAGAGCATCACGGAATGTACTAAACCAACAACGTGGTGCTTGCTTAAGTCCATACAAAGACTTATGTAACTTGACAACCTTGTTCGGAGTACGTTTGGCAAAACCCGGCGGAAGCTTCATATAAACTTCCTCTTCCAATGTCCCATGAAGAAAAGCATTATGAACATCCATTTGGTGAAGTTCCCAATTGCGAGCAGCTGCAATCCGAAGAAAAGTGCGAACTGTGGTCAACTTGGAAACTGGTGCAAATGTTTCTTTGTAATCGAGACCCTCTACTTGTCGATTACCAAGAGTAACCAAACGAGCTTTGTAACGCTCAATAGAACCATCAAAATTGTGTTTAATCTTATAGATCCATTTATAGCCGATAGCTTTCTTTCCAGGAGGAAGATCACACAACGACCAAGTGGCATTATCTTCAAGTGTTGTGATCTCCTCGGCCATTGCAGCTCGCCATTCAGCATAAGTCATGGCTCTAGAGAACGAAGTGGGTTCTTCAGCTTCGGTAATGGCAGCCAAATAAGCACAATAGCCTGCTGAAAAACGCACTGAAGATACATGATTAGCAATAGGATAAGGTGTACCTGAAGAACCGATATTAGGAGCCGAAGGGGGAGTGGAGTGTGATGGTTTATCAATAGTCTTGGCAGCATAAGTTTGATATGGTGCAAGTAAGACTGACTTGGTTTTCTTTCTCTTCCCACAACCCAATGCTTCAGGCGACTTCACTACTGCAGAAGACTCATTATTGTCTGCAGTATCTGCAGAGCTTGTGTCACACACATCCGACGGTGTGTCAGACACGACAATTGGATCACTCACATCCTTCAGCGTGGGAGATCCAACATCAACTGTATCAGGAGAAACTGTGTCACACACATCCATAGATGTATTAGGTATGACATCCTCTGTAATTAGAGAGCTCCCCCTTACGACAGACTGCTCTCCACTGACAAGAAGTGGAATTGGACAAACTTCATCATCTTCAGCAACAACAACAGGGAAAGACGGAGTACTTGACAGAGAAGGAGGAGACTCCATTGGAGATGCAAAAGGGAAAACCTCTTCATTAAACACCACATCTCGGGAAACAAAATATTCTTCTCTTTCAAGATCATAAACTCTCCATCCCTTCTGACTATGAGAATAACCCAGAAATACACAGCGAGTGGCACGCTCATCGAACTTAACACGTTTCCTAGTGCCTTCGTGTGCATAACATAAACATCCAAATGTATGAATCCTTTCATACATTGGTTTCTTCCCAAACAACATTTCATATAGCGTGTTCCCATCTAACACGGAAGAAGGTGTGCGATTGATGAGATGTGCTGCAGTGAGCACACAATCGCCCCAAAACTGAATAGGCAACAAGGCTTCAAACCGTAAAGAACGAGCCACATTCAAAATGTGTCGATGCTTCCCCTCGACGCGACCGTTTTGTTGAGGAGTACCAACACAAGATGTTTGATGTTGAATCCCTTGTGACGCAAAGAATGATTTGAGACATATGAATTCTGTCCCATTATCACTACGAACCACACAAACTTTCTTGTCAAACTGTCGATCGGCCATATGACATAAATTCTGAAGAAGGAGCGCCACTTCACTCTTAGCTCGCATCAAGTACACCCAAACGGCCCTAGAATAGTCATCCACAATGGTAAGAAAGTAAACTGATCCACAAGTTGCTGGTGATTGATACGGTCCCCACACATCACAATGAAAAAGGGAAAAAACTTCAACTGCTTTATTAATACTTTCCCGGAAAGAAGAACTTAAGTGTTTCACACGGACACAAACGTGACATGGAACTTGAGAAACTAACTTGTCATTACTTAAATCAACAACACCAGATAAATGAGAAAGCACAGACTGCGATGGATGACCTAAACGACGATGCCAAAGTCCACGAGACTCCACAACAGCCACATTAACTTGAAAACCAAAAACACCCCGGAAGAAGTACAAACCATCACTAATCAGCATCCTCATAACTCGGTCCTGCAAATAACAAAACTTATCAGTAAATATTGCTAAACATGGTTTCTCCTTCAACAGACGAGCCACAGATATTAGTGTAGGACGAAGATTAGGTATATAGAGAACGTGAGAAAGAATCACAGAATCTCCAAGTTTCATTTTTCCCTCTTTAGTAGATATGGCATTTTCTCCATTGGGTAAAGCCACATGACAAGGAAGAATATCATATGTATCAAACAGAAGATCAATATTACCTGTAAGATGAACCGAAGCACCATATTGAATGATAATACCCGATAGACGATCACGCGGAGCTGGCCTTGCCGAATTGAGAAGTGACACGAGTGTCTCCCACTGTTCATTATTCAATGGCAAACCTTGACGATCAGCATCGGTGATGACATGTTGCGGAGTAGTAGTTGCACCAAGCTCACCAAAGTTAGCGTGAACCGCATTCGCTCGACCAACACCAACACCAACCTCACGTCCACGACCATAGTTGTTTCCACGTCCTCTGCCACGACCACGGCCAGAATCCGTCGGAAAACCATGAAGTTGGTAACAAGTTCTTTCTTCATGACCTGTCCGACCACAATACGTGCAAGTGAAGATAATCCGACCACGACCAGCAGGAGTACCTTGAGCAGAGAAACCAACTTGATCTGGACGTGTATCATACACGCGAGTAACGTGTTGATGACGTTCTTCTTGAGCACCATGGAGAAAGCATTCTCCAGTGTGGGAGGAGGATTCATACACAAAATATTTGACCGAGTAGTTCCAAAACGAACACTATCGAGCCCCATAAGAAATTGATACTTGCGTTCTTTGTTACGCAAAGCAAGTTGTTTCTTAACCGATGCACAATTACTCTGACCACAACAACACTCCGGAATCGGCTCAAAGTCATTCAAGTCATCCCACAAAAGCTTCAACTTCCCAAAATAGTCCTGAACCGAGTGTGCTTCTTGTTTGAAAGTAGCAACACTTGTTTTGAGCTCATAGACGCGAGGCTCGTTCCCAACAGAGAAACGACTTCGCAAACCATCCCACAACTCAAAAGAAGTGTCGGCACAAGAAACAGAACTACATAACTTGGGTTCAAAATTGTATTAAGGATCCATGCCACAAGCATAGAGTTAACAATACCCCACAACTTGATCTCATCAACTCCGGATCTCGGCTTGGTGACCAAGCCATCGATGAAACCTAACTTGTTCTTGGCGTGAAGAGCGTTGCGCATATACTTAGCCCAACATTCATAATTCAGACCAGTAAGTAACACAGTGAAAATCAAATGAACTGGATTTGCACTTGCTGGCAAATAATATTCAGACAAAATTGTCACTTCCCGACTAACCTCGGCATGTGACTTGCTTGAAATAGAACCTTCATCTGTGATTTCCACCATTGATTATGAGAAAGAAAGAAGAAAACTAAACTTTGGAGAAAGAGATCAACCAAAGAAACCAGAAACAAACTAAACCAAATCGGATGCAAAGAGCAATTCCGAAATAACCAAATCAAAAGAAACAGAGAATAGTGAACAAAAAGAGCTGCAGATTGCAGAGAAAAAGAAACGACAGGGCAAGATTTAGAGACCTTGCTCTGATACCATGTCAAAGAGGCGGAGCGGAAAATGTTGCGTTTATTATTCACTTAGAAAGGTATATATAGTTACAAGTAAAACCCTAGAGAGAATATATGAAGTGCCATACAAGGAAATATATACATACAAGACAATATATCACAATAGTATTCAAGCTTGATTTCTAACAAACTACGCATTTCTCTAAAAAACATAAGAAATCTAGGTGGACAAACATGACGCAAGAAAATCAATATATAAGTGATTTATGTGATTGGATGCTTTGTTTAGAATCTGAACATGTCCTGCTATTCGCGCTATTCTGTCTTCCTAAGCAGCTAACACATCCCATGAGTAGTTGGCGTGCAAAAACAATGTCAAGCAAAAAGCATGTATAGAGATATGCAAATTGAGCATGTAAGTGTCTATAAGCAAAGAAGAGCAAACTAAGAAGAGGAAAAGCAACAAAAGAGGAAGTACACTTTTCTATATCTTTTGTTAAATCAATACTAACAATCCTTCTAAAAAATCAAGGTTCTGTCTTCTCTTCTCTCAACACATGCTTTACTTGAGAAAGAAGCATATATTTCATTCATGTTATTGATTATACTGTGAATGTAAATTCGATGTTGACAAAATAAAATCCAATTGGTGACTAACCCGGATTTGAGCCGTTTGGTTTTGGCTGGACTCGAGCAATCGAGCTAATTCTCTTCTCAATTGCTTAATATGTGTATGTTCTTCAGAATTTTCAGGCGCGAAGCCGTCATTTTTATAGCGATATTGCTTCATTAGAAAGAAAATAAACCAGATAACTTTTAAAGGCAATCATCATTCACTCACCTAATTTAATACTTATTGATTCAAAGAAAAATAGTAGAGGACAAATGAGAAGTGAATTACCATTTTGCAGGCTTAAAACTTCGATGAAGCACCTTCATCATGGAGCGAATCTTAACAAGAGAAAGATAACAAAATCAAGGATCTGAAGGACTGGAGTCTCCGAACACACAATTGAATCTGAGAGCTCAAAGAAAAGAAAGAGATTTTGGGGTTTTTGTTGAAAATCAGATGGGAACACACAAGAGATTTGGGGTTTTTCTCCCCAAACATACAAGGCAATTTGCCCCTTCGGTGGAGAGAGAGAGAGATAGTGTGTGAGAATTTTTTTGTTGTCACATCCCAACACATGTTGAATTTTTAATTTGACAGAAGTTTTTTTGTTAGAACTCGATTCTAACATAATGTATTAATGTTGGGTGAACTGAGGCAATATACATGGAAAATCTGACAATTAAAATTTTGGAAAGAAAAGTTGATAATTAGTTTTTGAGGAGAGAGGAGTTTACTTATTTACATAAAATGCCATTGGCCCAAAAACTGTTTTCTGATGCTATATGTCGGAAATACTGTTCATCAACCGCAGCATAACACTGCTCATCAATAACCGATTACACTATTCATCACCTGAAACAATAAATGATTTTAATTGATAATTATTTTATTATCATGCTAACTAGTATGATATCGAGATAACTATTCGATTACCATGATAACAATATTATTATCATGATTATGTTCACACACTAATATTATTAACAATAATATTAATGATAACATTGTGATTATCATGATAACACTGTGATTACCATTCTAACTAATATTCATTTAGTTATCATATTGTAAACTTATAGTGTTAACTGTTGTATTGTGATAACAATCTTGCTAACTTGTTACAATTTCATTTAAAATATGAGTTATTCATTAATATATTTTGTTAATTTTGTTAACATACAATAATAGTAATGATAACATTGTAATTATCATGATAACATTGTGATTACCACGCTAACTAATCTATACTATTAAAATTGAAGCAATCAAGGGTGCATGCTAGAATTATTCCTGTCACCAAACAGAAAATTATCCCAGTTATCCGAATTTTTCAGTATAACCCAGAAGGAAACCGGGTCGGATCCTGTTAAAAAGACCATTTACCCCGACGCTTTTCAAAGGAGATTTTTTTCGAGTGAGGTCATTTCTGTCCAAAGCATATTTCGGACCTTTGCTGTTTGGAAACAGGTTTAAGCAAAAAAAAGGTGTCAAGTGTAAAAAGGGACTACACATCGGATCTTCGACCCGACCCGCAAAAAAAACACGCGGATCTAAGGGGAACTTAAATCAGACCGGCGAAATCTAACTCGATTTGAAAACAAAACCGGACAAACATTCCAATCAAATGGATACGCTCGGATCCTTCGCCATAAAATCGGGTTCTGTTTGTGGAAAGACGCTGATCTGATTCAAAAATAGGAAACAATATTAATTTCAAAAGATTATACAAACCACTCATTAAATCTGCAACTATGACCCTATATATTCGGCTATTATGATTTATGACTGAATTTCAAAACAAGGCAAAGATATCCAACGTTTTGGGAACTTGAATATTCGGTGAACAGAAAAAGATTTCTGGAGATTACAAAATAGCGTAATCTTAGCTTCTAACAGTATATTCGAAATTTATTGACTAGAAACCTAATGACCCATCTTGAAAAATTATAAATACACCATTCACAGGGTAATAGGAACACGCACATCGAGTTGCATATATCATTTTCATCTTCTATATTTCATGTTTACTAATCATATTTTGTTTATTTTGTTTTTATTGTAGGGTTTATCATGAGTGGAAAAGCAACCAAAAGCTTTTCCTTGAATCACAAAATCCCAAATACCAAGCCAAAAGTCGCTATCAAAGGTTAGTCCTATCCCATCTTAAGAAACTATAAATATATCGCTCACAGGGTCATTGATACATCATACATACCTCCAAATTGCTAATGATTTGTTCTTTATGTTTATGAATCACGTTTTGTTTTGGATGTAGGGGAAGTCATGATGGAAAAGCAACAAAAGCTCTTTCTTGGATTGACATGCAACTATGATACAATCAAAGGTTAGTCCCTAAGCCCTATCTATGAGAGATCAGGTCAAGAAAATAGATATTGCTTCTTATTATTCCACATACCTTTATGATGGCAAGCTTTTCAAAATAGGTTGGTCAATCCAAGTTGAGCTTCTTTTGGAAGCAATACACGTCCGCATCTGGACAAATGGAGCTAATCCTAGCAAAAGAAATTGTAAGTTAACATGATATTATAGATTATTAGAGATTTGTACACGTTTTCAATTCTGAAATCTTAATCTTAATCTGTCTTGCAGGGTATTTAGACACAAGGCTTATGAATGTCGCCATACCTTATTCGTCTTGAATAAAAAGACAAGTACCACGCTTTAAACCTCCATAATCGAGTAATTGATTCAATGAGCCTCTTAACTGCGTTGCATAAAAAAACACAGCAGAAGAAAATGGAAGTTAACGATCGAATCTAATATCTTAACCACCATATTTTTTGCAGGTATGAAGTATGCTAATTAGTTAAACATTGGAGATGAATCTAGCCAATGTAAATGTAAGTTTACAATTTTAGTAAATATATAACACATGCTTTATTATTTTACTTCTTGAACGTGTAGTGGCTGTAAGATACTTTTAACTCAAAATTATGCAGACCAACGTTTTGAGCAATGCAAGCAAGCTGATGATCAAACACATGATCTCAAATGTTTCTTTCGGTGAGGTACTTTTATTGACTAATTTAATAAAGCTATCTTCTATAATGTCATAGGCTTCTTTTGTCAAGAGTAACACCCAAGGTATGTTTCGGAAATATCTTGGAAGTGTACCTGAACTTTCTTCGACATAAAAAAAGCAGTGCACGAAAATCATAAAGCTGGAAAAGGCGAGCAAGAACAATGTCCAACCTGAAACCAAAGAATGAGACGAGCAAATGAAATCAAACTCAAGAGAATCATTTTGAGCAAGTTACTTTTAGAGCATAAACTATCTTTGAATCAATTTAATAGCCGCTCTTTTTTTGTTTAACATACCTTGATACCCTTCTTTTCAGGTTGGCGAATCCAAGTCAAGTTCTTTATGTTTGGAAGCAATAGACGACGGCAGCGGCTGGACATATATTGGAGATGATTCTGGCAAGAAATGATTCATGTAAAGGTTAGTATACGATCAACTTTTTGCCTTAGAATTTCATCTTGACCTTTTTTCTTATCACAATATTAATGACTTATTGTTATGAGTTTTAGATGCTCCTATGGATATACAAAAACAGACAGATGCAAGTGCATGAAGGAATTAGGTAGTGAAGACACGGTTTGCAGAAGACAATCATCTAAAAGGTTAGTAGACTAATAAGTTACTGCCTCATACTTGCATCTTAGCCTTTTTTTTTCCATCATCACAATACGAAAGATTTTTGGTTATCAGTTTTAGCTGACACTAAGGATATACAAAAACAGACAAAAAAAACATTGAGGACACCATCACCAAAACATCTTATTCGAACTGACTATAGCAGTGTGTTCAGAAGCTTATGACAGGAAAAGAAAATGGAGACTACGGGTCCAACAAGAAAGTCAGTGTTTCAAGGTGATCTCATTATTGAAGTAGTATGCTTTTAAAGAGAAAAAGGCAGAGAAACAGGTTGGTTTCTGAAACCTTTTGATATTCAACAATAATTTAGGGAAAAGAAACCGAGTTATGCTCTGTTTTTTCATATCTTTTTCTAGAAAATTAACGGTAAGATATGTAACTTAGTGTGATGTTGTAAGCTTTATAAGTGCTTTTGATTCTAACATATTAATCTCAATCTTTCTTGCAGAGTGTGAAAACAAAGGCTTTTGCAAGAAAGCATGCCAAACCCGGTTTGAAAAAAGAAAATTAACTGATTCAGTGAGTTACTTAACAGCATTTCATCAAGCTCCATTTGGATTCGGTTATGGAAACTTACCTAGAAATTGTGACGTTCTGTTTTTTAATATGGCTAATAATGCTCTTCCAATCACTCTTTGCAGGAACATGTGGCTTCAAAACGGCCTGGAGAATTCAAGTTAAGATCTTGCACCTAGAGAAGCAATACACAGACACAGACGAAACTGTAAGGAATCAATCAGGAAACAATTTCTATATGTCTAATGTTTTCTGTTTCTGTAAGGGCACATCATTCAAGACAACGGAAGTGAGGGTTTAGACGAGACAAGAACTATTGTTCTTATTTACTTAGTTTGTAGACAAGTTTAATTTGATTTCAGATCACATGTAATAGAAATAAGTTAAGATCATGTCATTTTCTTTCATTATTAGTGTTTGATATCACCATATTTTACATGATTTTACTATATATTTACCTATGTTTTCAAACGGTTTTTGCAAGATTCTTTGCCTTTAGAGGTAGTTTTCTTGTATTTGTGGGATTTGAAGTCTTTGTAGGTGAAATAATCAAAAAGGATGCAAAAAGGAGTAAAAGAGCCCTAAATCAAGATCCATGCAAGTTTCCAAGTCAAGAAGATCATTTTATCTCCAAGTGTTAGTTCTCGCTAGCGCGCAGAACGAAGCTTCGGAAGTTTGGCCGCGCGCGGAGGAGTTCCCGACGTCCAAAAGTTACGATCTTGATATGGAAAGATAGATACTTGAGTCATGCATCACGTCGAAGTGGAATGAAGCCATTTGGATCAACTATGAGGCCTAGACTTATTTTCTACCGAGACATGTCCGGTAAGCGAGTAAACGAAGCCCATGGAGGATTTGGAGTGTCTAATGGCCCGAGCAGCAGCGCCAAAGGCCTTGATCGAATAGAGAAGAGGCCTGGCTAATGTTTGGAGCTTTCCTTGGTACAATGTCGGCCCATACACGACGTGGAGAAGAAGGCTCGGCGCATGGAAACTTTCCTTTTCCGGCATGAAGAAAACCCTACGCGACTTCGCCCATATATACATGTTTTTAGCCGCTGAAGAAGAGAGATCGAGTCCAGTCCGAAAATTACAAAGAGTTACGTGTGAGAGAGAGAGAAGAGAAGAGAAGCCCTAGGAGATCGTCCAAGAAGAAGGAGGCGCCGCTCAACTCTTGTTCTTTCTTTTTCATTGTTTCCATTTCTATAAACTTGATCTTAAGAGTTTTCAAGGGAGAATCCGACTTTGTTCATCAATAGAGAAGCTTTCTTCATCCCTTTATCTCTTTTAATACTTGCATAATGTTTACAATCATGCTTTGCTTGCTTGTTTGCATCATGGCCGAGTAGATCTCTTAGTTAGGCCGAGGAGATCTATGGTGGCCGTGATGATTTGATTGTGTTGCAACTTATTGGGATTTATCTTATGGATCTTCACCTTTACTTGAGCTTAATGCATGATTACTCTACCGTACATCTAGTAATCTGATCTTAGAGAAATAGAACCACGACAGTGCTGAATCTAGATCTCAAAACTAGTATTTGGTGAGCAATAGATCATAGCCAACGAAAGCTGAGTTATGGTTTATTGTGAACAATTGAATCTTGAACCTTGTAATGCATGTTTGCAATTCTAATAGCCAACGAAAGCTGAGTATATTAGGTTGTTTTAAACATAGTGGTTGGAGCCACGACAGTGGAAAGACCATACACTAGTGATTCATGTTCAAGACGGCTCTACACACATCCCATGCAACTATCTTTTCATCATTGCTCCATATGATTGTCCTTTGCCTAACTCTTGTTTTAAATTGTTTACAAACTCACTCACATTTCTTTTGTTTTGTTTTCTCATTCTAGGTCCAAAACCACCTCATATTGCGAGCTAGCTACAAACCAATCTCACAAGGTGTTAAGCGAGAACACTTCCTCCTCGTGTTCGACCCCGACTACAACACGGCTGTGCACTTGCAGCTCATTAGTTGGGTTTATAAATTGTGAAAATTTGAGGCAATCTAAACCCGCCATCAGTGTTCTAAACTTTTAATGTGTTTATTGGAAATTCATATAAATATTTCTAAAAAGTCTACCTATGACATGAGAAAATTGCTTACCTGCGTTTTCTCAGGAGGTGTAGTCGAGTTGATTGGAGATTGACTTCTTTGGCCTGAAATGTAGATGAAACAAGCATAAACAATATCAAGAATTTTTGGTTACGCATAACAAAATAAGAAGTTAAATACCTTTTTCTTTGGGCTTCAAAGAAGTAAAATCAGAGATGAATTCAAAAGATTACATGGTTGGGGTTTACAAAAATCAGAAGAATGGTTCAGACTTTGACTTTGCAATCGAGAAGAGAGATTGAGCATGAGGTAAAGAAGAAGATGATACACGTGTGGGTCATCATCTATTAAAAATAGAACAATTGTAAGACACTGAGTTGATCAGAGGCCTAAAGCTAGAACAGAACAGACTCAGGAGGATCCAGTTTTTGGAAACAAAGCTAAAGATAATGGAAAAGCAAAGGAGGATAACCCCAGCTCTGATGAAGAGCTACAAGTTGATGAAGCTACGCTTAAAGAAATGAGAAGGCAAGAAGGTAACTACTTTACTTAGTATTCAAGCTTGATTTCTAACAAACTACACATTTGTCTAAAAAACATAAGAAATCTAGGTGGACAACCATGACGCAAGAAAATCAATATAAGTGATTTATGTGATTGGATGCTTTGTTTAGAATCTGAACAGTAACCCGTGAACAGTACCGTAACAGTACCGATGAACAGTAACCCGTGAACAGTACCGATGAACAGTGCCGATGAACAGTAAAATTCGAAAATCTCTCCAAAAACTCAACTTTTCTCCTCTACAGCATCTGAACTCGAAAATTCTCCAAAGAGAAGACGGTTGCACTCTTTAAACTTGATTTTAGGGCTTTCTCCACTAAACCGACCCAAACCAATTCACTTAAATTGAACCGACAAAATTCCCAATTTTTATTTTTTTTTGGTTTATGGATGTTACACTAACACAAAAAATAATGCTGATGGAGACGATTTAGTTCCCTTTAGTAAAAATATATCAAAACAATATCCAATCTTAGAGGAAAGAAAAAGAATGGATCTACGAAAAAGAGTATCGTTTTCTTGACCTAAATTGCTAATTTTTCTTTTTTTAAGAATGAGCTTTACACTAACACAAAAAAATAATGCCGATGGAGACGGTTCACTTCTCTTTAACCAAAAAATGTCAAAACAATATCCTATCTTAGAAATCTAATATTCACAAATTTAACTAACTCAGAGGTTAGCAACATCACAAGTCAGTGCAACATTCTTTTAGATTCAGGTCTTTTCGGAAAAATATAAAGAAAGTACGGGACTGATAAAGGTGACAATTTGTAATCTTGACTTTAATATGTCTCGTATGAGAAAAAAAACCGGATCTAATCAAAGATGAAATTTTGTAATGTTGACTTTAACATGTTTCATGAACAAATTTACAAATGAAGAGAAAAGAAAAAGAATGGATCTACGAACAAGAGTATTGTTTTCTTAACCTTAAATTGCCAAAAAAAAAAATTAAATGAGCTTTACACTATCAGAAAAAATAATGCCGATGGAGACGGTTTAGTTCTCTTTAGTAAAAAAATGTCAAAACAATATCCAATCTTAGAAATATAATATTCACAAGTTTAACTAACTCAAAGGTTAGCAACATCACAGATCAGTGCAACATTCTTTTCGATTCGGGTCTTTTAGGAAAAACATAAATAAAGTACGGGACTGATAAAGGTGAAAATTTGTAATCTTGACTTTAATATATCTCATCAACAAATTTATAAATAAAGGGAAAGAAGAGAATATTGGAGTTACACGTTTTTTTTTATATGATATCAAATTGAGAATATGTTGTTTCAAGTGTCCAAGGAGATTTACTAGACTTACTACAAGTTTCTTTGTTTCATTTAAATTGTACATAACTACATATTAAATTATTTGATGAAAATTTATTGTTTATTAATGAAACAGCTGATCCGACGGATTCCCCAAATTTATTTCATATCAGAAGACTAGATATCGAATCGAATTGGGATTCGATTTCTCCCATTCCTCCAATTGTGCGACTTTTCGTTTTGCGCAAGATGTTAAACAAATGGTATGGATGCCACAAATGTTGATGTTAATTTCATGGTTATAAAACATGCAAAATGAACTTATCCGTTTTAGGGCCATACCTGAGAAGAATTATTACAGCCCAAATATTTAGCACTTAATTTATCACTTTTCGTCTTACTATTGATTCAGTAATTTACTGAACCTCAGATTAAAATTAACAGCAAATAATTGTGTAACTCAAAAAACTAAAATCTTCACAAATTACAACATCCCGTGCTTGTCAAGCAAGTAACGTGATTACGAAATGTTATATAAATGCACTTAAAAACATGGGATTGAACATCTACAAGTTTTAATTTACTTTGCAATTCATTTGATTCTGATCATCTTAAAACCATTTGATTTTGATCATCTTAAAACCAGTCTGAAGAATAATTAAGTTAATTTTATTTGAGTTATCTGATCTAGGAGGCAAGTTAAAATCGAAGGATTGTTACACGGAAGGAAATTGCGAGAGCTTAGAGGTTTACCTGACCTAGAGAACGGAGACGCAAGGGAACAGTCCCGTTAGCTGCAGATATCGATTTTGCTGGGTTCCTTTGAGTAGAGCATAGGATTTTCCAAGACGAAGAGAACTAGAAGCTCTTACATTAGGTCAGACCCCAAAAACCCTTTTTTTGATCGATTAAGATTTCGTCAATTCCAGAAATTCAGCAATCCTGATAATTCTAGAGACTCTTTAGATGAAAAGTGTTTAATTAGCTAAGTGGAGAACGCGACGACCTTGAAGGAAGAAGAAGAAGAAGGAGACGACCGGAACCAATGTCGAAGGAGAAAGACGATGCGTCGAGACGAAACAGAGAAATGGTAACGACGATGCTTAGCGGATTTTCAAATTGTTGCTTGACCGTTCAGTTAACCTAAACCGAACCAAGTCGATTAGACCCGCTCTGTTAACTTAAATCGAACCAAATCGATTTCAGAACATAATAGTATAACTAGATCCTGAGCCCCCAAAGCACGGGATGTTGTGATTTTTATAAGAACATTTTAACTATTGACACAATTATGTAAATAATAGTATATATGTTTCAATTATGTAAATAATAGTATATACGTTTGTGATATATAATGATGAATTATTGATATTTTGATTATCCAAGGATGAGATGAAATAAATATGCAATCATTAATGTTAAATTTGGGTTCAATTAAACTTATAGATATACCTAAAATAAGAGTATTGGTTCTTTTTTATGATTTGTGCATGTGAATTAACTTTCTGAAGAAACGGAAATAATAAATAGGGGTCGTCAAATTTGAAATATTAAATTAACATTATAACTCACCAAATCAAACAAAGCAAACCCGCAAAACGACACATTTTGAAACCGAGCAAACCCTGTAAACCCCAAAACCGAATGAGGTATACTTGTATACTCAAAATATAACTCACTAAATGAAACCGAGCAAACCCCGTAAAACAACACATATGTATGTCAACACATTGAAGTCGGTTTGATTGTATTTGCTCAGGGTCAATATCTAGCATGAAATTATAACAACTTATATACATATTTATTTCGTCTCATACTTATATAATCAAAATAACATTAATTCATCATCATATATCACAAACATATATACTATTATTTACATAATTACCGTATCAGTAGTTAAAAACATTTTATAAAAATCAAAACATCCCGTGCTTCCCAAGCACGGGTCAGGATCTAGTACCCAATTAATTATCATATTGTAAACTTATAGTGTTAACCGTGTTATTGTGATAACAATCATGCAACTTATTAACATTTTATTTAAAATATGAGTTATTCATTAATAAATTTTGTTAATTTGTTAACATACAAGTTACCCCTATAATATATCACCAAAATTATCGCTAACGTCATGATTACTTATTTACTGGTGTTACTGTCATCATCTTCACCATTGATGATGAAGGTGGAAGAGAAGAGTTAAAAGGCCAAATCTGCAGGAGGAAGGAGATGTGCCATCGGTAAAAAACGATGTAGTCACCATCACGTTTATCCCACCATCATCAATCGTCACCACCACCGCCATCGTTATCAATCGCCACCGTCACCGCCACCGTCACCGCCACCATCATCAAATCGCCACCACCACACACTTGTTTCACGGTGAAACAGAAAAGAGGAAAAGAAGGATAAATGAAGGATTAAATTGTAATTACATTTTGAATAGTGTGTGTCAGAAAATACACTTTACTGTCATTTAATTTAACCATTATTGAAGGTTAAATATTGCAATTGCTCATCAATCTTTGATTAAATCTTGGTTAATTTCGTGAATAGCCATATTGAGTGACATATTTAAAAGTATAGCCATCATGTTCTTTTTGGTTGATTAACCCCTTTAATTTGCAAAATTTCATGTTGAGTAGCTATATGGACAAGAATCTCATTTTGTTAACCCAAATTGCCAAATTTCAAAAATAAAAATGAGCTTTATACTAGCACAAAAAATAATATTGATAGAGATAATTTAGATCTAAACAATATCTAAACTTAAATTTAGAAATCTACTATTCACAAATTTTATTAGCTCAAAAGTTAGCAACACCACGGGTCCAAACCAACACTCTTTTATATCCAGATTTTTTTTTGGTGAGAAAAGAAAACCGGATCTAATCAAATCTAAAAGTTTGTAATCTTGACTTTAACATGTCTCATGAAAAAATTTATAAATGAAGAAAAAAATGGATCTACGAACAAGAGTATCATTTTCTTGACCTAAATTTCTATTTTTTCATTTTTTAAAACGACCTTTACATTAACACAAAAATAATGCCGTTGGAGACGGTTTAGTTCTCTTTAATAAAAAAATATCAAAACATTATCCAATCTTAAAAATTTAATATTCACAAACTTAACTAACTCAAAGGTTAGTAACATCACGGGTCAGTGCAACATTCTTTTAGATCCGGGTCTTTTCGGAAAAACATAAAGAAAGAATGGGACTGGTAAAGGTGAAAATTTGTAATCTTGACTTTAATAAGTCTTATATGAGACAAAAAAAATGGATCTAATCGAAGGCGAAAGTTTGTAATCTTGACTTTAACATGTCTCATGAACAAATTTACAAATGAAGAGAAAATAAAAAGAATGGACCTACAAACAAAAATATTATTTTCTTGACCCTAAATTGCCAAATTTGTTTTTTTTTTAAATGAGCTTTATACTAACACAAAAAATAATGCTGATGGAGACGATTTAGTTCCCTTTAGTAAAAATATATCAAAACAATATCCAATCTTAGAGGAAAGAAAAAGAATGGATCTACGAAAAAGAGTATCGTTTTCTTGACCTAAATTGCTAATTTTTCTTTTTTTAAGAATGAGCTTTACACTAACACAAAAAAATAATGCCGATGGAGACGGTTCACTTCTCTTTAACCAAAAAATGTCAAAACAATATCCTATCTTAGAAATCTAATATTCACAAATTTAACTAACTCAGAGGTTAGCAACATCACAAGTCAGTGCAACATTCTTTTAGATTCAGGTCTTTTCGGAAAAATATAAAGAAAGTACGGGACTGATAAAGGTGACAATTTGTAATCTTGACTTTAATATGTCTCATATGAGAAAAAAAACCGGATCTAATCAAAGATGAAATTTTGTAATGTTGACTTTAACATGTTTCATGAACAAATTTACAAATGAAGAGAAAAGAAAAAGAATGGATCTACGAACAAGAGTATTGTTTTCTTAACCCTAAATTGCCAAAAAAAAAATTAAATGAGCTTTACACTATCAGAAAAAATAATGCCGATGGAGACGGTTTAGTTCTCTTTTGTAAAAAAAATGTCAAAACAATATCCAATCTTAGAAATATAATATTCACAAGTTTAACTAACTCAAAGGTTAGCAACATCACAGATCAGTGCAACATTCTTTTAGATTCGGGTCTTTTCGGAAAAACATAAATAAAGTACGGGACTGATAAAGGTGAAAATTTGTAATCTTGACTTTAATATATCTCATCAACAAATTTATAAATAAAGGGAAAGAAGAGAATATTGGAGTTACAGGTTTTTTTTTATATGATATCAAATTGAGAATATGTTGTTTCAAGTGTCCAAGGAGATTTACTAGACTTACTACAAGTTTCTTTGTTTCATTTAAATTGTACATAACTACATATTAAATCCTTTGATGAAAATTTATTGTTTATTAATGAAACAGCTGATCCGACGGATTCGCCAAATTTATTTCATATCAGAAGACTAGATATCGAATCGAATTGGGATTTGATTTCTCCCATTCCCCCAAGTTGTGCGACTTTTCGTTTTGCGCAATATGTTAAACAAACGGTATGGATGCTACAAATGTTGATGTTAATTTCATGGTTAGAAAACATGCGAAATGAACTTATCCGTTTTAGGGCCATACCTGAGAAGAATTATTACAGCCCAAATATTTAGCACTTAATTTATCACTTTTCGTCTTACTATTGATTCAATAATTTACTGAACCTCAGATTAAAATTAACAGCAAATAACTGTGTAACTCAAAAAACTAAAATCTTCACAAATTACAACATCCCGTGCTTCTCAACCAAGTAATGTGATTACGAAATGTTATATAAATGCACTTAAAAACACGGGATTGAACATCTACAAGTTTTAATTTACTTTGCAATTCATTTGATTCTGATCATCTTAAAACCATTTGATTCTGATCATCTTAAAACTAGTCTGAAGAATAATTAAGTTAATATTATTTGAATTATCTGATCTAGGAGGCAAGTTAAAATCGAAGGATTGCTACAGGGAAAGAAATTGCGAGAGCTTAGAGGTTTACCTGACCTAGAGAACGGACACGCAAGGGAACAGTCCCGTTAGCTGCAGATATCGATTTTGCTGGGTTCCTTTGAGTAGAGCATAGGATTTTCCAAGACGAAGAGAACTAGAAGCTCTTACATTAGGTCAGACCCCAAAAACCCTTTTTTTGATCGATTAAGATTTCGTCAATTCCAGAAATTTAGCAATCCTTATAATTCTATAGACTCTTTAGATGAAAAGTGTTTAATTAGCTAAGTGGAGAACGCGATGACCTTGAAGGAAGAAGAAGAAGAAGGAGACGACCGGAAGCAATGTCGAAGGAGAAAGACGGTGCGTCGAGACGAAACAGAGAAATGGTAACGACGATGCTTAGCGGATTTGCAAATTGTTGCTTGACCGTTCAGTTAACCTAAACCGAACCAAATCGATTAGACCCGCTCGGTTAACCTAAATCGAATCAAATCGATTTCAGAACATAATAGTATAACTAGATCCTGAGCCCCCAAAGCACGGGATGTTGTGATTTTTATAAGAACATTTTAACTATTGACACAATTATGTAAATAATAGTATATACGTTTCAATTATGTAAATAATAGTATATACGTTTGTGATATATAATGATGAATTAGTGTTATTTTGATTATCCAAGGATGAGATGAAATAAATATACGATCATTAATGTTAAATTTGGGTACAATTAAACTTATACATATACCTAAAATAAGAGTATTGGTTCTTTTTTATGATTTGTGCATGTGAATTAACTTTCTGAAGAAACGGAAATAATAAATAGGGGTCGTCAAATTTGAAATATTAAATTAACATTATAATTCACCAAATCAAACAAAGCAAACCCGCAAAACGACACATTTTGAAACCGAGCAAACCTTGTAAACGACACATTTTGAAACCGAGCAAACCCTGTAAACCCCAAAACCGAATGAGGTATACTTATATAATCAAAATATAACTCACTAAATGAAACCGAGCAAACCCCGTAAAACGACACATATGTATGTTATACTGTCAACACATTGAAGTCGGTTTGATTGTATTTGCTCAAGGTCAATATCTAGCATGAAATTATAACAATTTGTATACATATTTATTTCGTCTCATACTTATATAATCAAAATAACACTAATTCATCATTATATGTCACAAACATATATACTATTATTTACATAATTACCGTATCAGTAGTTAAACACATTTTATAAAAATCGAAACATCCCGTGCTTCCCAAGCACGGGTCAGGATCTAGTTTATATAATTGAGATCATTACCTTAAACTAAGATTGCCATACATTTTGGAAATATTAAAGCACAATCCAAATCAAGAAATTTCAGCTATAAAATCCCAAAATCCAACTATATTAAGAAATTAAAACACACATTACAATTAAAAAAACTATTTGTAATTAGTCAATTCTAATAAATTCCCATACTTGTAATCGTGTATATATACTTTGTACATCATTAGTAGAGTATTTATTCAACCTTTAATCATATATAGAAAATATTAGGAAGACAAACAACAAAAAATGATGAAGTTGTTGTTTTATTACTCCAAATTACTGGTTGAGCTACAATAATTACTTAATTCAGGACGGTTTTTTAGTTTTTTTGTTGTTGTTGTTGTAACTAGTCAAGACCTGTGTTCGAAAACGCGGCGACTTTTACGACTACTCGGTACAAAAGTCCTCACCGAGACGACTTCCTAAAACCGGTGCCACTGTTTGGTCAACATTGGTTTGACCACATTAAGTTTTTCTTTCTTGTGTCTCTTGTTTATGGTGACATGGTTTTTGTCTTTGCATTGGTCTCTTTTTGTCTTACAGGATCATTTACTGCTCCCGGCTAGTGTCACGGCGAGAAACAGACAGACAATTCTAAAGCTCCTTCTGCAAATCTCTATCTACGTACTCTGGCGTGAGAGAAATGCGAGAATCTTCACAGCTTCTACGACTCCGCCGGCTATTATGAAGCGTCAGGTAGACCGTCTGATGAGGGACCGCTTGATCTCCTTCCCCGTTACGGATTCTGCTCCCTCTCTCCTAGAGTTTTACTTCTCTATTATATCTCCGATATGATGTGTTTTTTGGCTTTCGTTCCTTGAGTAAGTTGTATAGGGTAAGACTCTTCCTTTATTTTCTGTAATGTCTTTTCACTTTTTTTTTTTTTTTTTTTTTTTTTTTTTTGGTCGACAGCCTGTGCTTCTAAGCCAACTCGGAAATCCAAGTTGGAGGAACAGAGTTTACATAAACACATATGTAGGTAGAACTCTAGCACTCCGTGCTAACTTGTCCGCCTTCGTGTTCTTCGATTCTTGGGATATGCACTATGGAGAAGGAGGTGAACTCCATCCTACATCTGCAGAATTCTTCTAGTATTGCTGCAAAAGCTGGCCATCCTCGGGTTTAGACACCATCTTTACCACATCGGAACAGTCCGTTTCAAACACTATTGTTAACTTCCTCTGTCGTAACATGCACTGCATAGCCCACACCAGCGCTTCAAGCTCTGCTTGGAGTGGTGATATACCCCGTCTTAAGTTACACGTACCCATAAGCTTTTCGCCTGTTTCCGTATTGAAATTATACCAGCCTAGACCCGCTCGGGAATCTGTGGCTTTCCATGATCCATCAATCTGACAGATTTCACCTCTGGCAGATAACTCAGCCGGATTCCCCTCCAGGACCAGTGTGACCTCTTGTCTTTCTTGTGCCGTTCCTCCACGCTACCGCTTCACTTGCCGCGTGATTAATAATATCATTAGGATCTGAGTCATCATTGGAGAAAACCTTATCGTTTCGGGCTTTCCAAATAAACCAAAGCAACCAGGGATACATACCCATTCTTTCATCATTTGGTAGGTTCCAGAATAGGAGCAATGTTTGTAAACAAGCCTCCTGTTGGGAAATGGTCCAAAGCTGTAGGAATTGGGGATAAAGCCCATACCTGTAACGCTGGTGGACATTCAAATAACATATGATTAACCGTTTCCGGAGCCATACCGCACCGCACGCACTGTGGGTCGATTTGAAGGCCGCGACTCTGTAGCCGTGCCCCTACAGAAATACACCCCGTTAACACTTGCCAAATAAAGTGTTGTAGCTTCTGCGTACATTTCACTTTCCATGTGTATGCTTGTAATGGACTTATATCCGGACCATACTTGATCGGATTAGCCTCGTCAAGAATTTGTTGCGCCAAAACGTACCCTGATTTTACCGTATAACGGCCCTACTTTGTAAAAAACCATCCCACCGAGTCCGGCTTACCGGTGCGAGATGTCGGAATCCCTAAGATGATGGGAACATCCTCGCTATCAAAAAGCTGATTTAATAGTGGTAAATTCCACGTTGAGGTGCCGGGTGTCATCAATTCACTCACCCGAAGATGAGGGTAGAAATTAGCCCCGTGTCCTGTGGCTGGCCTCGGGCAAGAAGCTGGAATCCATGGATCTTCCCAAACCGAGATAGAATTCCCTGAACCAACTCTTTTAATAAGCCTTTTATTTACCAGAGGTCTTTTCACTTTGGTAATAAAGCTTAACATTAAAACAAAAAAAAAAACAATTACAAATTTATAATCCTTATAATATCTTTTGTATGTTCTTAATATGATCACACAACATGTATCTTGTGAGTGGAACTATATTTAACTTTTGTATTAGATTGTAATGGGAAAAAATGTTTAACTAATCTCTGAAATATATAATTTTCATTTTATGTGTTATCTTCTTATATTCTATATAAAAATGCAGTAAAAATTTCTCCCCAGCTAATCTCCGTTTTATTTTCGATTTTCCAAAAGTCGGAAATTTCGGATCTACCGCCGACTACCGCCGACTAACGCCCAGCGAGATTTTGAACATTGGTCAAGACAGACACTTGAAATGTTTAGATTGTATATTTCAATCAGTAAACTAAAGAATTTCTAGTTTGTTTTTCGCATCGATTTTTCAAGTTTCAAAACGTTAGTTTTTCTTTACACAGGTACAAATTGTAATAAACTACCAAATACGTATTTGCTTCTGTACTTTTTTTTAATATCATTGACTGACTATACATGCAAACAAAACACACACACATGAACATATACTACTGAGACAGTTTTCTCTCTCCTCTCTGGGCGACAGAAAAGGCGATTAGGGTTTTCCTTTCCCCCTTTTCGCACCAACGGCTTGGCCTCTCGCCACCGTCGAGAACTCCCTCACCTCCCCGATTCTTCTCTCCTGGATCCACAAAGTTCGCTCCTCTGCCTAAGCCGCCATGGCAAACGGAAAAAAGAAGAAACGCATCTTGGCTTCAATGCCTCACTCCTCAAAGTTCGCAAGAGTCCTCGCGATACCCAAATCGCGTATTCCGAAAATGTCCTCCCATCTCGCCTCAGATCTGGAAACTCCAACTGATGCGGTAGCAACTTCCCCGATTTCAGTCCCAGAGGGTGAAAACCCTACTTCGCACTGTTTATCCTCTACAAGCGATGCCTCACAGCAAAACTTGGAATCAGCACGACCTGAAGAAGTAGATGTTTCTGCTATTGACGGAAATGCTACCTCAGACATCTCTGTTCCCACTCCAACAACGCAAACAGAGAAACCACCACTATCTCCTCCGAGAAAATGGGCTTCCGTGATTCACGAATCAAGCCAGCTAGAGGAACTCGGAACTCCAGCTGAACATGTCTCAGGAGCTCCTTTTGTATTCATTCCGGATGAGAACCTTGAAGAGGCCAAAGAGGAGTTCAAGGAATTTATTTTTGCTCGATTCCATGGAGATGCCCCAGAAATGGGAAGAATAATTGGCATAGTAAACGCGTTGTAGGCTCGTGCTGGACCAAGAATTTTTGTTCATCGCCTGGAGCAAGGCACGTTTCTCCTCAGAGTAACAAATCCCCGAACACGTCAAATTCTCCTCAATCGAAGTGTCTGGATGATTGCAGGACTGCCGATGTTTGTAGCTCCCTGGTCCCCTGAGTTCACACCGGAGCAGCCTCAGCTCACCTCCGCTGTCGTCCCGGTTGAGCTCCGAGGAGTTCCTTACCTCCTGTTTAATAAGAAAAGCCTTAGTAGAATTGCCACTGCTGTCGGAAAACCAGTCTCTCTCGCTCCTGAAACAGAGAGAAAAGAAAACTTCGAGGTAGCTAAGGTATGGGTTCGGGTTAATCTCCTTGCAGAATTGCGTACAAGGATTGTCACTGGTTTCTCAAATGGGAGGGAGGTAGAGGTAACCGTTACATACCCTTGGCTTCCGTCAAAATGTGGACATTGCGGAAAGTTTGGGCACGAGAGTAGGCTCTGCAACCATCAGAGTTTTAAGGTGGCAGCAACTGCTCAGAGAGATAAGCGCTCCAAGAGTCGTGGACCAAAAACCCAACCTCAGCAAAGACCAGGCAGATCGCGTTCTCGATCAAGAATCACTCGAACTCCCCGAGCTATACCTGCAGAGGAAGTCTCTGATAGACTGGATATGGGGAATCAGAAGAAGCAGGAGCAAGAAGAAGTTGCTAGCTCCGTGGCTATTAAAGAAAGTGAAAGTGGGCCTCATATCAGTACAGAACCCTTGGCTGAGGAAGTAAAACCACCTCCGCAGAAAGAAACGAGGCGAGAGAAAGAAGTGAAGTCCTCACAGCTCATATCACGAGACTGGGATTCACGATCTCCTGCGGTTATAGTGACTCATGAGAATGTTGATGCTCCGGTCGGACCTGCTTTGCAGAGTAGAGCAGAAAATGATGCTCCTTTCTTCCTCATTTCTAACAGGAAGAGTGGCCGAAAGGTCACACAAAACTAATTTATATCATCATCATGTTTTTGGGTGGAATATAAGAGGACTGAACAGCACACGACGCCACACCATGGTCAAAGAGTGGATTTCAAACCACATACCTTATTTTGGAGCGTTTCTAGAAACGCACGTACAACCCCTTCATACAAATCGGATATCTAGAGCTTTACCTCAGGGCTGGAATTTTTTTGCGAATCTGGATCATCATGAGACGGCAAGAATTGTGGTGGTCTGGAGTCCTCTTGTCTCTATGACAGTTTACCAAGCCTCTGCTCAGGCCGTTACCTGCGGTTTTTTTGTTTTATCGGAGAAAATAGATTTCACCATCACTTTTGTTTAGTGTTTCAATCTGGCTGACAAGAGACAGTCACTTTGGGAGGAGCTTTCGGTGATGAATGCTACAACACCAGTTTCCAGATCCCCATGGGCAGTAATTGGGGACTTCAATCAAATTATGCGATCCAATCAACACTCTAATCACCTTGAGCTGGAGGTGGATATCTCGGGCATGGAAGATTTTAATCTCGCTATACAGGACTGTGAGGTCTTTGAAGCTCAAGCAAAAGGACTACCTTTCTCGTGGTGGAACAATCAGGAGTCAAACCCCATCTCAAAAAAGATAGATCATGCATTGATAAATCAGCATTGGGCTCATTCTTTTCCTGAAGGCTACGCCGAATTCCTGGAACCGCAACAATCAGACCACGCGCCCTGCCTTTTTAGATTACCTGCTCTTATTCGGCGACCTCCAAAGCCTTTTAAGTTCTATCATCATATCATAGGCCATCCTCAATATGAGGAAACTGTAAGAGATTCTTGGAACTGCGGGTTAATTCAAGGAAGTGCTCAATTTAAAGTTGTCAGAGCTTTCAAGCTGATGAAGCCTGCTCTAAAGAGGCTTAATAAGAGATACTACAGCGGTATATCCGAGCGAGTTAAAGAGCAGGCTCATAAGGTAGAAGAGCTGCAGCGTCTCCTTCTGACTTCGCCAACTAAAGATCTAGCTAGACTTGAGCACCGTGAAAGAAGCAAATGGCGTACACTGGTAACAGCGGAGGAGAAATTCTTTAGACAGCGCTCTAGAGTTCAGTGGCTTCATCTTGGAGATAGGAATACATCGTTTTTTCACAAATCGGTGGTTCAAAGAGCAAACAGAAACCACATCCATTTCCTCCGCGATCATGAAGACAGGTTGCTAGGGTCCACAGATGAGATAAAGACTCACTCGGCTGAGTTCTTTAAAGGAATCTTAGGGAACACAGTTTTGGCCTCTTCCTCGATCACCGTTGATCAGCTTCAAAGTCTGCTACCATTTCGATGCTCAGACGCTCAGGTTTCGGTGTTACAGAAAGTGGTTTCTGATGAAGAAATAAAAGCTACGGTCTTTGCCTTGCCACTGAATAAGAGTCCAGGGCCAGATGGCTATTCGGTGGAATTTCTAAGAGCTTCTTGGGAAGTAGTAGGAGGAGATATTTTGGCAGCAGTACATGAATTCTTCCGGAATGGGAGACTGTTGAAGGACATCGTTAATACTGCGATCACACTCATTCCCAAGATGCCAGAGGCTAGCAAACTCGGTGACTATCGGCCCATCAGCTGCTGCAACCTGCTGTACAAGATAATATCGAAGATTATTGCAAATAGAATGAAGCCAATTCTGTTGGATTGCATCAGTCCTAACCAGGCTGCGTTTCTAAAAGGCAGAAGTCTGGGAGAGAACGTGTTGCTGGCTTCTGAGCTTATAAGGAATTATCAAAAGCTCAATTGCCCAAAGAGCTCAATGCTAAAAGTGGATATCCGCAAATCCTTTGATACAGTCTGTTGGGACTTCGTTCTAAAGCTTTTGGAGGCACAAAATTTCCCGCCACTCTTCAGATGCTGGATAAGTGAATGCATATCCTCTCCGAGGTTCTCTGTGGCGATAAACGGAGAGTTGGCAGGTTTCTTTGCCGGAAAAAAGGGACTGCGCCAAGGAGACTCTATCTCTCCATACTTGTTCATAATGGTCATGGAGGTCCTGTCAAAGCTTTTAGATAAAGCGCAACTTGCTGGAGACTTTGAGCTGCATCCTAAGTGTATGGATCTGAGGATTACACATCATCTCTTTGCTGATGACTTACTGGTTTTCACTGATGGCTCAAGTCGTTCCATCGCTGGTGTAGCTTCAGTCATGCAAGAATTCAAGGAGGTAAGTGGTCTAGAGATGAACCCAGATAAATCCGAGATCTTCTTTGGAGGTTATAATGATGATGAGACAGTGGCTATAAGTGGGGCCTCGGGGATCAAACTAGGAACTTTTCCTACAAGATATCTTTGGCTGCCTTTGAACCCGTCGAGGATAACCTTAGCCACCTTACAGCCGTTCGTAGAGAGGATAACAGCTAAGCTACACTCCTGGACTGTGAAGCTTCTGTCTTTTGCCGGGAAGGTTAGAATGATCGCCTCGGTAATCTATGGCATGGTCAACTTCTGGAGTTCAGTTTTTGCGCTTCCGAAGAGCTTCTACCGCAAGGTTGATTCACTTTGTGCGGCTTTTCTTTGGAAAAATAAAACATCAAACGCCGTTGGAGCTCGGGTTTCGTGGAAAGATGTATGTAGACCAAAAGAGGAAGGTGGTATTGAAATTAGGTTGTTGGAGGACTTCGAAAGAGTTTTCAGACTGAAGTTGTTATGGAATTTCTTTGCAAATTCAGGTTCCTTGTGGGTTGCTTGGCTGAAGCGAAACATATTTCATCGGCGTGGATACTGGTTGACAAGTGATTCAAACTGTTTCTCTGGATCAGTGAGGAGTATGATCCAGCTAAAGGAATCACTTTCGGAATTTATGAGATGCGAGATACGGAATGGCGAAAAGGCATCATTCTGGTTTGATGTCTGGTGTGATTTGGGACCGTTAAAAGTTTTCCTTGGCGATGTAGCTCCGCGCCAGTTACGAATAAGAGAAGGGGCTCATGTTATAGATGCGTCGAGTAACGGATATTGGAATTTGCCAGCAGCAAGATCTCCTCAAATGGAGACTCCATATTTTGTTAACCTCCACTACTCCTCCTTCGGCATCACTTGATGAAGATGTCTATCTCTGGCGAAAAGCTTCAGGAAATTTTGGTACAATTTTCTCTTCTAAGGCAACTTGGGAGTTTATAAGACAACATTCTCCTACACAGTCTTGGCATAAGGCTCTCTGGTTCAAGGAAAACATACCCCGGTGTACCTTCATCTCTTGGTTAGCTCTCCTAAGACGCTTACCAACCCGTGACAGATTAAGGAGATGGGGTATGAACGTTTCTCCGGATTGTGTGCTTTGCTCAGCACACTTGGAAACTCACCATCACTTGTTCTTCGAGTGCTCTTTCTCTGCAAGTTTATGGCAGCGCTTCGCCTCGGCAATTTGGAGTAAACCTCCATCTGATCTTCACTCAGCAGCAGCATGGATCAACCTTCAAAGGTCTGGAAACGCTTCCCAAGAGCAGGTGGTTGCAAAGCTTCTTTTCCAGGCCATAATCTATCTGCTTTGGAAGGAGCGGAATGCCAGAATCTTCTCAGGAACCTCCCTATCATCAGCCGTTCTCTCAAGGGATCTGGATCACCTAATCAGAGATCGCCTCTTGTCTTTCCCAGCGACTACTATCTCTCACCGTTCACTGCTCGAATTTTGTTTCTCTACTTTCAGGCCACCTTAAGAGGTTTGTAAGTGTATTTTTTGTATGGGGTTGTATGTGTTTCTAGTATCTTTGCTCAATAAGTTGCTTTGCAACAATGTAAAACTCTCGAAAATGGTATAAATTTTAACATTATTACCAAAAAAAAAAAAAAAAACACACACACACATAAGTTCAAATGTGCCAATGAAAAAGGAAAATAATAATATCCTTAATAAATATTGTGGGTCAGAGTTGGTCATGTGGCGTCTTCAGATTGGTTTTCTTTACTAAGAAAAGGCTTTCCTCAATCGTCATCTTGACTCTCCAGTCTAACGGCACGACGGCCAAGTTTTTCTCAGACGGAATATTCGCCGTCAACACCAATCGGAACCTACCCGGGATATATACGGTACGCTCTCCATTTACGCTTTGGGTCATGATTTTATCTTCTTCGAGTGAGTTCGTTTTCGCCTCGAGAAATTTCCTGGTTGATAATTGTAGATTGGAGATTAGGGATTTTGCCTTTTTGAGTGCTTACTCGATTTTGCTCACTTTGATTTTCGATTTTCAAGTCAGAGAGACTGACGAACCATTCTCGCCGCTTATTCTAGGGTTTTTAACCTCAAATTTCTGGATGCCAAACAGGAAATTTCAGCAATTAGATTCGTAGACCTGATTGAGCTTAGATTGTCAATGAATTCGACTGATTTGTATACTATGATTCGCATCTTTCCAGATTTGTCTTATTAGAGATGATGAGAGCTTATGATGGAAGAATTATTATTTACTCTCATAATCACAATGGTTACAATGGTTACACTTATATAGAAGACTCATCTAACCTAATCATCTAATTGATAGAATCCCATTATCATAATTACAATATATTCAAAATATCAACATTAATATTATAGATCTTCTAGATCCTTCTACACGCCCCCTCAAGCTCAAGGCGGTTATGGAGAGATGCGGAATTAACGGGTTGAGATTGACAATAGAAGGATCTGATTGTTCAAAGCATCTTTGTTCTTGATTTCATGTTCCGTGTGTTGTGACATAGATGTCCATGACGACGAGTGAAGAGTGGTTTGGCGACCGGTAGCTGTTTAATGACTTGCGTAAAACGATGGTGACGGAGCTGAACATGAGACTCTCGTGGCCGAAGTGGTGAGATCGTGTTGGCAACCTAGTGAGATGGCTGGATTTGGGCCAGTGGTTTGGCGTAACCGGTAGAGATGCAAGAGAGATCTCACATGGTGCCATGGACGAGCCTTGAGGAATTTTTTTTTTTGTTTTTTTGTTTTTTTTTTTTTTTTTGAGATTTAAGAAAAGAAGGAAGAAGATGATAGAAACAGAGAAGAAGCGAGATGGTGGTGCCGTTGCGGGGACGATGAGAGATGGTGAGTTCAAGACCTATTGACGGAGGCTGTTACTTGGGGAAGAAGAATAACGGAGAAGAAGGAAGAGTAAAGAGATGGGATATGTGTTATCATTTTTTTTTTTTTTTTTAAGTAGATAGAAGAAAAAAAACAAAAAACAGAAATAGAGAATAGAAAAGAGATAAAAATGAGAAGAAAACAAGAAATTGAAAGGGATGATTCAGAGGTCTATGAAAGACTTGAATAAGAAGCACAATGGCTTAGATTCAGAGGTTCATGATGAACTTGAATAAAGAAGCACTAAGCTTGATAAATAACAAAATCAAAGAAGTTTGATAGCTTAAAAACAAAAAAAAGTTTGATTGTTAGATCAAAACTTTTGAGCAACCTGCTCTGATACCATATTAGAGATGATGAGAGCTTATGATGGAAGAATTATTATTTACTCTCATAATCACAATGGTTACACTTATATAGAAGACTCATCTAACCTAATCATCTAATTGATAGAATCCCATTATCATAATTACAATATATTCACAATATCAACATTAATATTATAGATCTTCTAGATCCTTCTACATGTCTTACTGTGTGTGTGTTTGTTTGGCCCCTTTCATTAAGTTATTTCAATCTTCCGTTACCACCATTCCAGAAACTAACTCATATTTCTAATGATTTGAGTTTCAAAAGGAGTAATCTTGTTCTCTTTCACTTTGAATTCTATCTTCTCTGGAGAAGGATTGGTAGAGAAATTGTTGTTGAAAGGACTAAACTTGCCTCTGAGGATTAGACCTTTATTACTCTCAAGTCTTAACTTTGCTTTGATTGATGCTTGATTTGATTGTTAGTTCGTTATCTTCTTCTTTTCTTCTTCCAGGTTTTGGATTCGGAAAACAAAAGAAGAGCACAAAATGAAGACCATGGACACTGAGAATGAGAATCAGACTCTTCACTCGAAAGTGATCTCACATGCATTTTCAACTGGTACTATCAAGCAAGGCTCTATGGCCACTTCCCTGGGTGTTATCGACATCGGTGTGAGCGAAAACGCCTACATCTTCAGAGTCGAACTCCCTGGCACTGGGAAATATCAAAGTAAGTAAAAAAGCTTTCACTTTCTCATCTCTTTTCTCAATACAAACTTGTGTTATAACGACCAGAGACATGAAACCAAAGTTACATTCTTCTTCCTGTGATGTTATAAGCAGATAAGATCAAATGTGAGATTCAGAGGGACGGAAGAGTCTGCATCCAAGGAGTGGTTCCTGAGACGACGATCCCAAGTGAATCAGGAGGCTTAGGCCCTGTTCGTTTGAACAGTTGGCTGATCAAGCTAGATGATCCAGCCAGATGATCCAGCCAGATGTTGTTCACTTTTTTTTACTCTCAGCTAGATAGATCAGCCGAATGGATCAGCCAGATGAATCTTTTGTTCTTTTTCTCACTTAGATGGATCAGCCAAATACTTTTAATGGATAATGACGAAAATACCCATACTTTTTTTATCCAATCAAAGTTTTATTAACTAAATTAATTTTCTAACCATATCAACTTAAATAATATCAAAACCATAAAAAGTAATTTCACAATTTTGCCGAAAATGTAAATTTGCGGTTTTGACAGAAAAACAAAATTTCGCAGTTTTGGCCAAAATTACAACTTCACGCAATTATAGCAACAAAAAACACGATTTTGTGATATCTGCAATAAAAACAGGATTTCTCATCGGAAAATGCGATTTTGCGGTTTTGGCAGAAAAAATATGAATTTGCGGTTTAAGTGGAAAACTGCGATTTTGCGGTTTTGAACGCAAAACGTAATTTCACTGTTTCGGTGGAAGTTTCGTAACTTTGCATTTCAAGCAGAAACCCACGATTTTGTGATTTCAATAGAAAAACATGATTTTTCAGTTTAAACGGGAAAACTCGATTTCGCGGTTTCGGCAAAAATATATGATCTTACGGTTTAAGCGGAAAAACTTACAGCAGGAAAACGTATTTTGGTGAAAATTTCGCGGTTTTGCGGTTTCGCCAGACAAACGCAATTTCTAGGTTTTGGCGGAAAATATGATTTTTTTGCGGTTTTTGCGAAAACGTAATTTTATGGTTTTGGCGGGAAAATTATTTTACTTTTCGGCGGAAAATGATATTTCACGGTTTTGGCGGAAAAACGTTATTTTGAGAATTCGAAGGAAAACGTTATTTCGCGGTATTGGCGGGAAAACATTATTTTGCGATTTCGGCGGAAAAACTTTATTTCACGGTTTTGGCGGGAAAACATGATTTTTGCGATTTCGGCGGGAAAATGTGATTTTCTGATTTCGGCGGAAAAATGTTATTTGGCGGTTTTGGTGGTAAATTGCAATTTTGTGATTTCGGCTGAAAAAATCGTTTTTTGCTGGTTGTGGCAGGAAAAACGTTATTTTTTTTTTGTGGAAAAAATGTAATTTTGCGGTTTATCTTGAAAATATAATTTTGTGGATAATTTTGATTTTCAGTTTTGATAAAAAAAAATTGGAGATTGGATAATTTTTTTTTGTTTTAGAAATAGTAAATAAATCTATAATTTTATTCTTGTGTAAATATATTTTGAAGGATATAATTGTTATTTGTATTTTTGGAATGGAGATGGCTCAGCCAAATGTTTCATTTTGGATCAGCCAGATGGATCAGCTGGTTATTAAAATTTAGCCTAAATTTTTAGTATTTGAGATGATCCATCTAGATAGATCAGCTGAATGATGCTCATTTTTGTATTAAACGAACATCATCCAACTGCCTCATCCAGATGGATCAGCTGGATGAGCAAACGAACAGGACATTCATTCAGAATGCAAGTGCAACAGAGCTGCCCTCCAGGTCCATTCTCAATCAGGTTTAGTCTTCCGGGACCAGTGGATCCTCGCTTGTTTTCTCCACGGTTTCAACCTTGTGGGCTCCTTGAAGTTGTTGTCGTCAAGCTTGGTGTACGCATCCCTACTCATAGTTTATCAAACTAGGATGTGTGTGTAAAACACAAAACATGTTTCAGTAATCTAATTTCATCACATCTTTGTAAGACAGTTCTAAAAAAAATTGTAGTTTGGATGTGAAATGGACCAAACGCAAACGAGGTACTCTGTTTTTGCGTTAGATGCGGCAAGGATACAGTGGTATCATTCCAAGGCGATAATAGTCGCCGGAATGGGACTATTCACAGAGGCTTACAATCTCTTCTGTATAGCTCCGATCATGAAAATGATTAGCCAAACTTATTACCACAAAGACTCAATCCGAACCGCCCTTCTCTCTCAACTTCCTACGCCATCGCTCTCCTCGGAACCGCCATGGGCAACCGAGTTGGACGCCGTCGAGTCTACCATCTCTGTCTTCTCATCATGGTTTTCAGTTCCTTCGTTTTGGTGTAACGACCGGAATTCTTTAAATATGGGCTGGATTTGATTTCTTTTATTAAAAGCCCATATGAGCTAATTTGGCCCATTCTTCATTTCTTTGTTGGTTCTTCTTCCTTCACGAAGCTGTTATGGTCGAGTGGAAGCAAGCCGAGCGGAGGAGAGACAGGGAGGTGACCCGATCTGCTGCTGTTCACCACCACCGTGAGTCGTGAACCACAAGAGAAGCAGCCATCATTGTTTGGTAAGCCGAACGTATTCCATTGTCACCGTTGTACCGATTTCATCTGACCGAGAGTGATTATTGTTGATGCTTGCTTCAGCCTTAACCTTCCATTTTCACCATTTGAGTTGTCGATCTATCATTGGCTTCCATAATCATCTTTGTTACTTAAGCTCCAAGTCAACCTCACCTCTTAGACTGGTCGCTGGTTGTAGAATAACGTGTTTAACTTGTTAATTAATGAACCTCAACCTCAACTTGAGTATTTATACAACACTTTGATCATATACGATATACTAGAATCTCCTACAAACCAGGAGTTCATCTTAATCCTAAACAATATATGATTTATCTCCAATACTTCCCCTCAAGGTTGAGCGTGAAGATTTTGAACGCCCAACTTGGACAACAAATACTCAAATGGCTCACGGCCAAGCGCCTTAGTAAGAATATCTACGAGTTGTTCTTCGGAACGAACATGATCGGTGACAATGACTCCCTCCTGAACCGCATCCCGAACAGCATGACAATCCTTCTTGATATGTTTGGTGCGTTCGTGGAAGACAAGGTTCGAGGCAATGTGAATAGCTGCTTTGTTGTCACAGAACAAGCGAGTTGGTTGAGACTGATCAAATTCCTAGATCAGCAAGAACACGTCGGAAGATATCTCCAATACTGGTGTTGTTTCTTCACTGGAAAAGTGTCTTTAAGTAACCCCTTGTTGTCTTGACGTCTTCTATGCCTTGATTCATCTTCCACCGTCAACGTCTATCCGATATCCATTTCAGCTCGAGAGACTAAGGTGAGGAGCAAGTTGCGTTTTCTCCAGTTATGATCGAGTCTCATGTCATCGTTGAGTTTAGCATTAAAATCACGTATACATACGTGTCTATATATATATATACACTTAGATTAAGCCTCGCGTATACGCGGATTTATTATACAATTTTAAAAATAAATCATAGAAAAATAGTAAATAAATTTGACACTTTAAAAGTAAGTAGATTAATATTAAAACCCCGATAAAAGACCTCTAAATAATATTAGATTGGTAATCTTTTTACATTTTTATTATAATTGATATATTTTCTGAATTCATGATACAAAAAATGAATCACTTTGTTATCTTTTTACTTTTATCTAAAATTGAAAGACTTACACATGTGTAAGTTTAATTGATTGATTAATTCATGAAAATTTTATTATTCCATTGAAGATATTTCGGTTGATGAAATCCATTTTTTTCAAATCTTTTTTTACCAAACAAAAAAATTAAACTATTAAAATTAGAATATCAGTTCACAATAATTTTTCCTGTTAATATTAGTTAGTTTTTCGATAATTATTTTATTAGTTTTCTATTTATATTGTTTTTTCAGTTTTGTTTTTGACTCAGGCCATTATAAAATTTTTTCCATTATTAGTTAGTTGTTTTCTAATTATTTTGTTAGTTTTTTTATTTATTTTATACATTTTTCCAATTTTCTTGTGTTAACACTTGTTTTCAAAATATTAGACACAAGTAGCAACAATAATTTTGATTTGGATCCAACTGATCTAGAGTTAAATATTCTTCATTGGTATCATGAACTTTCAAATACATTATATTTATTTCTTAATGAGAGAGAAATTTAATCAAAAGATAGAATCACACAATTAAATTATGAAGGCTATAGCATACTATATATTATTATTTTTCCTTTTTCGTATTTGAAATATCTTTTACTTTTCCTTTTCGTAATGGATGTAACATTTTTTTTTCTTTTTTTTTTATTTTCATTTTTTTTTCTGTTTCTTAATGAGAGTTATTTTTCCTCCTTTTATTAATAAGGTATATATCAATATAATATGTTACCAATCTTTTCATCAAGTAATAGAAGTTTTTTTATGAGCAGACTGCAGATTTTTTTTTTTTTTTTTGTCGACAGCCTCTGCTTCTAAACCAACTCGGAAATCCAAGCCGGAGAAACAGAGTTTACATAAAACACATCTGTAGGTAGAACTCTAGCACTTCGTGATAACTTGTCCGCCTTCGTGTTCTTCGTTCTTGGAATATGCACTATGGAGAAGGAGGTGAACTCCGTCCAACATCTGCAGAATTCTTCTAGTAATGTTGCAAAAGCTGGCCACTCCTCGGGTTTAGACACCATCTTTACCACATCGGAACAGTCCGTTTGAAACACTATTGTTAACTTCTTATGCCGTAACATGCACTGCATAGCCCATATCAGCGCTTCAAGCTCTGCTTGGAGTGGTGATATACCCCGCCTTAAGTTACACGTACCTATGAGCTTTTCGCCCGTTTCCGTATTGAAATTATACCAACCTAGACCGGCTTGGGGATCTGTAGCTTTCCATGATCCATCAATCTGACAAATTTCACCTTTGGCAGATAACTCAGCCGGATTCCCCACCAGGGCCGGGGTTACTGATGATAGGATTTGTGTGTGGTGTGAAAGATATGAAATGAGATGTGGTGGAATGCAACAGTGGTAATGATGAGGTGGTAAGATGCAAACACAAACACAGTCAACAATTCCCTTTAACCATGATAGTTGATTATAGCATAAAGGGTTATCAATCCAAAATGGGAGAACTTGTCACTCTATGAGAATATGAAACAAGGAAGTCAAGCAAGCAGTAAAGATTTGAAGTAACACTAACAACCTAAATGAAAAGAAATGAAAGCAATAAAAGTAAAAAAGCAGTAAGCAACAGCTCGACCAAGACTCGAGTCGAGTGGAACAGAGTACCAGCTCGATCGAGTTTAGGGTCGAGTTGAGAAAACAGCTAAAGGTGACGACTTTAACAAGATAAGAGAGAATTAGGGTTCAAGACAGGGTTTTGCAATCAAAGGAATCTACACTTAATCAATCTAGCTCTTAAAACTCCTTGTATCAAGGCTTCTCTTGATATTGGGCTTCTCAATGCCTAGCCAACCCTTTCCCAAGGTGGAGGCTATCAACCAAGGAATGATCTCAGAAACAGGGGGTTAGCCAGTGAGAATCAAACCTTGGAGGCTATAGGATCATTGCCCAAACTAATCCATCCAACCCCTTAGACCTCTATTTCTAGAGCAAGAGATATTGGAGCTCTTAGTGGATCTTTTCCAGCGAATGCCATCACTTCGTGTGGAGAATCGCCTAAGGACTTACAAGCCAGGGGTAGTGGTCATGTAGCCTTAAGATCTATCCAAAAGAGAGAGAATCTAGATTAAGACCATAAGCTAGAAGGATTAAGCATATGAAACCTCTAATCTATCCCATCTCAAACCCTAATGGGTAACTACTCACTACACATGAATGTAAACACAAGCAAATGCAATAAAAGAGACATCATAAGAAAGAGGAGATGAAATTAAACAACTTTTATTGAAATAAGCAAGTGCAAATACAAAGAGATTATCCAGGATCTAAGATTCAAGAAGCAAGAGCTTCAAGAACACAAAGATGGGATTAGATCTCTAAAAAGTAAAAGTACAATAAATTAAAAGAAACTAAAACAAAAGTAATCTAAAGCTTGGTGGTTTTTTCGTGGCTTAGAGCCTTTAAATACAAAGAGGATTAGGTTTAGGGTCAAAGGAAAGTCAAGGGGGAAGCAACATTTTTCGGGTTTGACTTTGACTTCCAGCTCGATCGAGTTGAAGCTTGGCCGGTCGAGTTGAGGAACTCGACCGGTTGGTCGAGTGGACGGTCGAGCTGGTCTTCAAGATGGCTTCTCCCTTCTTCCTTTGCGTATCCAGTTGAGCTGCTTCCATGTGCCAAGTCCCTCCATGCTCCTTGTCCCATATGCTCCAGAATGCTCCAAAAGACCTATTTCAAAGGACCAAACATGCATATGTATGCAAATGCAACCTAAAACTAACATGAATGCATAAGAAGAGAAAAGGAACAAGATATGATGCAAATGGAAGCTAAAACTATGCAAAAGATGCATAAAAGATGTGCTAAAACTATGTAAAATGCAAGTACATCAACACCCCCAAACTTGAACTTTGCTTGCCCTCAAGCAAACAAATAGAACAAGAAGAGATGAGGTTTGAAAAAGCTGATTCAACACTTAAAAACATGTCCTCAAAAGCGATTTGCTAAATGTCCAACTTAGAGATTCTAGAATGCAACAAGGTGAGAGATATTCATTAAGATTTAACCATGCTTATCAACATCAATCCCACTTCACAGTCACTCAAACAATGCATTCAAATCAGCAAATCCCTTTAACATTCATTAAGCAAAAACAGTGAACCAAAAACATGCAAGATCAATCAACTCATTTGGTTTCAAGGGTTTATGGGTTAAGAGACAAAGAGGGTCTCTTTTGTATGGTGGTTTAGTAACAGGGATCTCTCAAGAAAGTGGCTTTGCTTTGGCAGAAGGCTAAGTGTTAGAACCAAAGATGATGCAAGAACAGCAGCTCGAGCCGTCTAATCCTAACTCGATCGAGTTCAACACTTAGAGCTTTTTAGAACAAAATCCTAACTACCCTTTTTGGCATTTCGCCTTTGAAACTGAGGAGCTTTGCTCACTTTTCTTTTAAGAACTTCCTAGGGAGAGGCTTCTTGAGGTAACATCTAGCGGTTTGGGATTTTCTAAACACTTAGGGAACTTTTCTTTCCTTTTTGACACTTGAGGCTTTGCCTTCTTTTCATTCTACTTAGAACCCTTTTTACTTTCCTTTTTTAACTTCCCAAACCTTTACTAGACCCTTTTTAACACTGCCAACTCCCTGGACTTAACTAAACTCTTTTTCCTTTGGGTTTTTCCCAACTTTTACCACTTTTCTGGTTTTTACACCCAACTCGATCGAGCTCGAGTTGGCACCCCCAAACTTAGCCTGAAAACAATCCCAAGAGAACTAGACAACTAGAACTACTGCCCCTGCCGGTTTAAACACAACACCTTATGCTAAGCAAAGCCAAGAAAGGTTCTCACAATCGCACAAGAGATAATATGGGGTTTGAAATGAAAAGGCTTAGGTTTAAGGTGTGGTAACTGTCTCAAAGATAGAGATCAGCTATCTGGACAAGCAAAGGGATATGAAAATGGTAAAGAATGTCCAGATATGTATGTGGTAGAGATATACCTCTATTTTACCTACTTTTTATGCTATTTTACTATGGTTTTCTAATGGTTTTCTAGTGGATTCTTGTGTTAAAAGGTAGTTTTTATGGATTTATAGTGCAAAGAGTCATTTTAGGTAAAAAGGTGCATTATGGAGCAAAACAGAGATTTGGACTCTAAACCAGTTCAATGCCCCTGCATCAACTTTGGATGGAGCTAGAAAAAGATCTACTCAATGGATTTCATCAAGACCAGTTCCCTGCGTGCTCTGATTGAGTTAACTTTCCAACGCAACTGGAATGGCCTCATTTGGATGAGTAGAAAAGGAGTTATAGCCAAAAGAGTGAAGACTGCTCCAGACGGCTCTATCGAGAATCAGCCCAACCGCGCAGTCCGGCTGGCCGAGGAACGATGTTCCGCGCTCGGCCAAAGTCATATCCGTCCGTCTGAAGTCTCGGCCAAAGTCCAAACCACCGGCCGATCACAACACGACCCGGGAAACATTGTCCCGCGGTCGGCCAAGCCACAACGTCACGCCACGCCGCGCACGACCATGCGCGCGAGCCGGGAACAAGCCTCGCGGCCGCGCAACCACTCGCGTACCACGGCCGATGCATCCGTCCGAGCCGGGAAGAACGTCCCACGTCCGGCCGAGAAACCATCGGCCAAATCTTCATCCCCCGACCACGCCGGCCGACCGTGAAATCATCCGGCCACGACCGTTCCGACTCGGCCAAGACCCGACTGTCCGGCCGATCGTCCCGACCGACCGTCCGAACGCCGCGGTCGACCCGAAGCCGTTTTTGAAGCCCAATCCGCACAATTCAAGCCCAAAGCCGGCGCCGACCTAGCTAGATTAGGTTTAGCCGCTTTCATACTTAGAGCATTATAAATACTTCTTTTTAGCCTTGTAACTCAAGAAGGAGAGAGACCACAATCTATTTTACATCTTAATAAAGTTTTGCTTGCTTTTACTTTGTTCTTGCTTGTTACTCTTTCTAGAGAGGATTCGAATCTCTGTTCTTATGAATATGAATTCGTGTTCCTTCTCTATGTCTGAGTAGTTTACTTGTTAAGTGATAGGAAGTCAAAGGATAGCATTCATGTATGCTTGATGATTGATCACAATTAGGGTTTTACTTATAATCTCCATCTTTGCTTATACTTAATGCTTGTTGTTAATCTGGCCAATTAGCATATGCCTTTAGGTTGATTTGAGCCTCGACAGTGCTGTATCATTCGCCTGAACTAGTATTTGGTGGGCAATCTCTTTTAGACTGCGACAGTTGATCTACTTGTAGGTTGTGAACAATTGAATCTCGAACTAATGCTTGATTTAATCACCTAGGGACATACCAAAAGTTTAGCGACTAGGTAGATTAACAAAGGGGTCGGAGCCTCGACAGTGGAATGATCATACCATAGTGTTTCAAGTTCTAGATTAGCACCTAAGTGCAGTAACCCTAATTGATTGATTTCATGCTTCTTGAATTGCTTATCTCAAGACTATCCTATTGCTTAGCCTTTCTCTCCTATTGAATTCTCACTTTTATTACTTGCATGCTTTACTTTCTCTGCACTCAACCAACTTATACTTTTGCCCTAGCTTGATCTCAAACTCATAGCTTGTAGTGTGCAATCTGGTCCTTGTGTTCGATACCCGTTTACTACTTCTGACCTGTGCACTTGCAGAATCAGGGATAGGAAAGGGGAAGACCTGATCCCGCGATCAAGTTTTTGGCGCCGTTGCCGGGGACCAATTCGCACCTACAAGCTCTTGCAAGAGAGCTAGTCTAGGGTTTCATCTTTTCCTTTTTGTTTTTGTTATTTTTCCTTTTTCTTTGATTTGTTTTTCCTTTTTGTTTTTAGCTTTTCAGGTTTTCCTAGTTAGATATGGAGAAGGAGCCACAAGCCCTTCCCCTATAAAGGCGATGCCAATTCGCCACATACCACCTCAAAGAACCTCTTGAGCGAACAAGAGATGTCAAGCCCTCAAGCACCACCACCTTCATGGGATAGTCCTCCAAGACCATCCCTTTGAAGACAAAGAAGAAACTTCTTCCTTACCTTGAAGCAGCCGACCTGGAGACGTCTAGCCAAGCCGCATCACCAAGAAGACACCTTCTAGCCACACCAGAAGAGGAGATTGACCCTGAGCTGATCGAGTTCGTGAAGAGAGATCAATTCCATGATCTGTTTTCAGAGTATGCGCTGGAGCACATAGATCACTTTGACAATCTTTGTGATTCCTATGGAGTTTTTGACTTTGAGAAGAAGATGATGCTATTCAGCACATCACTAGCTGGACCAGCACTAGATTGGGCGCAGCATGAACCACTCTCTACAATCGAGTCATGGATCGATTTTAGAGAAGCTTTCTTGAAGAGATTTGCAAGGAGCCACCTTTCAAATCCAAGTACCACACTACTCTCATCAGCTGGAGAGAGAGCGTGATGAAGAAGAATGGGGAGGCATACCACCCCATCCTGAAGTTTTGAATGAAGAGCTAATCAAGCATGTGGAGAGGAATCCTTTCTACAATTCTACTTCAGAGTGTGCAAAGGAGCATCTATGCAACTTTGAGCAGCTTTGCCACGACTATGGACTTGGAGACAACCCCAAGAAGATACAACTTTTCCAACTATCTCTAGCTGGACAAGCCAAAGAATGGGCTAAGTTCAATGCCCAACATGCTTTCAAGACTTGGAATGGATACAAAGGAGCTTTCCTCACAGATTTGCAAAGGTCCATTTATGTCCCACCACCACGCCCAAGCTATTCACAACACCATCCATCATCACCAGACATAAACAAGACACCACTTTTCCCAAGGGAGAGCTATCAAGCTGCGCGCCAAACCAAGATTGAAGATATGCTTCAAGAGTACTTGAGAAATCAAGAAGAGAGTACAAAGAAGATGGAGAGAGAATCGATTTCATCCATGAGAGCCTTGGAAACAAATCTGAAGTCCTATTCAAGCAAGTGATCAAGCTTGATGAAGACATTAAGAAGTTAAGAGAGGATCATGATCGATCTCTGACCCTAGTTAAGCTTGATGTTGCTTCCAAATATCAAGAGTTGCTGAACAAGAGCATGAGAATTGAAGATACTAGCTATGGCAATAGCAAACATCTTGGATCAATCTACAACCGCCTACAAGCCCTTGAAGGATCATCTCATGCCAATTACAAGAGAGAGAGGAGTCCAACACCCAACCACCCTCCCTTTTATTGCAATGCCATCACAAGAAGAAGCACTACTCAAGTCCATGAGGACAATGAAGAAGAAGAAAGAGAGTATGAGGAACAATTGAATGATGAAGATGAAGAGCAGAGCATCGACATCAATGCTTCCCCAAAACAGAGCAGGATACACCTAGCCCTAGACCCTCGTTTCTCACCAACACCAAGAAGTCAAGCTTCTACACTTCCAAGACTGGAAGCAATGCAAAGACCATCACCACCTACTGAAGAAGAAGATACTTGGCATATGATCCCATTGATCCCAACAAGATAAGCCCCATGAAGCTTAAAGAGTTCAATGCTAAGGTGAAATCACTTCCATTCTATGTCACTTTTGAAGAAGCTTGGGATAAACATGGTCTAGTGGAGTTCTTTTTCACAACTAGTGAAAACAAAGAAGAGATACAAACTTTTCAGGAAGGCACGATTTCCCCTTGCCCCTCATGCAGTCAATCAACCACCATCACCACCATCATCACCACCACCCAGTGGTATGTCAATTCCATATCAAGAGAGAAGCTTGCTGAGTTCAATCAGTTTGTCCAAACTCTTCCAGCCAGCATGTCTTTCCAACAAGCTTGGCGCCACTACCCATTCACCACCTTTCTTCCACAACTGCAAGGAGACACCTGAGGACATAAAGAGCTTTTTGAGAAAGCTAAAGTTCAGCCAACCTTCAAGACCCTCTACAAGATTGAAGACCCAGGTCAATTCTCTATTCCCTGTCAAGTAAATGGTCATTACTTTGATAGAACACTATGCGATTCTGGCTCTTGCATAAACCTCATGCCAACCCAAACCGCCAAACTCCTTGGCATCACACGCTTGCAACCTGCTCAAATTAGTATTGGACTTGCTAACCATACTATAGCCAAGCCAAGAGGAGTTGTTGTTGATGTTCTTCTAGAGATTGGAGATATCAAGATCCCGGTGGACTTTCATGTCATGAACATTCAAGGAGGATGTGACACACCATTGATACTAGGCCGACCCTTTTTGGCCACTGCTGGAGCTGTCATGGACCTTCCAAACCGGCGAATGTCCTTAGCCAATGTTGACAAGACAGTCTTTTACAAGACCATACCATTCATCTCACCAAACAAGCTGTCTTACCTCATCACTGCCCAAGGCCGCCCAAGAGAGCCACCAGACCACACTCAAGGTCACAATGAGACAAGAACTAAAAGACTATGTCTCAGGCCGTGCCCTTACCCCATCTCCAACTAAGAGATCCTATCAGTCAAGCTAATGACTCAAAAGAAGCGCTGCATGGGAGGCAACCCATGAAAGGTGTTTTTCTTTACTTTTCTTTTCAATTAGTTTTAGTTAATGTCTAGTTTTGTTTTGAGTTTTGGAACAGGAATCTAAGAACCACACAATGGTAAAGAAGATATACCACAAGAAGAATGTTCATAGTTGGCGCGACTTGATGGCCGAGCAGAACCTCTCCACGCTCGCCCATGTCCTCTCAAGCCGCCCAACACACCATCCCATCTCATTCCATCTGCATCTCACCCATCCCACCTCACCACACTTGCATTCCATCACTACCATCATTCCACTGCATTCACCATTCTTCAAGTAACACCAAATCAGGTTACATCTTTCTTTTTACATTCACAACCACTTTATTACCTCTTTCTTTAACTCCCTTAATTGGATTTTCTTTCACCGGGACGGTGCAAGTTAAGTCTGGGGGGATTGTCGGTACTAATGTGTTTGTTCATGGTTGTTTTGATCTTATAATTGGTTTTTCCTACCCACTTTTTCAAAACTTCTGTTTTATTGAGTCAAAACCAGTCCGGAACAATGAACTTGCTTTGAGATTTGATAGTGTTATGCTAACAATCTATGACCCTAGAGCAAACATCAGCTGAAGGCACAAGCCTAACAGAAGCTCCTACAGTGGATCGCATGCTAGCTCAGCGAAATTTCTAAGGTAACCAAGCAATCTAGAGTTAACCTCACCCTTAATCAATCTTAATAACTCTTGTCAAGGGGATTGGCATACATGTCGACAGTTCCTTGCTTGATTTTCAATGAGATTTGTCTAAAGAGTTCTCCTCTCTCTCCCATCCCAAATGGTAAGTAATGTTTATGAGAAAAGCTCAAAGAGCACAAGGAAAACAAGTAAGCATGAGGAATGCATATGTCTGTACCTTCATGTCTTATGGAATACCTTATCAAACAAGGAACAAGCTAAAGACTTATCCTGTGGTTGAAAGAAGGTCAATAGAAAAAATAAAATGATACCCTAGAAAAGTAGGGAGAAATTGACCTTTCAAAGTTCTGATGTGAGAAAGAGAGAGGAAAAGGAACTCATTGCACTTCAAAGACAATCTTGGAGAAGATCAAGTGGGTAAGAACAAGTTCAATTGATCGATTCCCTTGATAAAGAACTCACGCTTTAAATTTATGCAAGAGGTTAGCAATAGAGAGTTTGGATTGCTGGATGAGACTAGTTGGGTTGGTATTGTTCGCTAAACTTGCAGGGTGTATGTGAAGCTAACCTTATGTTGACTATGTTCTTAGTGGAATACAGGAAAGGAACCTTTCACAGGATTTCAAAGAAGCAAGAGAGTTCCACGTTTTTCAAAACCTCTTCACTAGTTTAGATTCTTTTTGCTTGGGGACAAGCAAAGATCTAAGTCTGGGGGAGTTGATATACCTCTATTTTACCACTTTTTATGCTATTTTACTATGTTTTCTAATGGTTTTCTAGTGGATTCTTGTATTAAAAGGTAGTTTTTATGGATTTATAGTGCAAAGAGTCATTTTAGGTAAAAAGGTGCATTATGGAGCAAAACAGAGATTTGGACTCTAAACCAGTTCAATGCCCCTGCATCAACTTTGGAGGAGCTAGAAAAAGATCTACTCAATGGATTTCATCAAGACCAGTTCCCTGCGTGCTCTGATTGAGTTAACTTTCCAACGCAACTGGAATGGCTAATTTGGATGAGTAGAAAAGGAGTTATAGCCAAAAGAGTGAAGACTGTCCAGACGGCTCTATCGAGAATCAGCGCCCAACCGCGCAGTCCGGCTGGCCGAGGAACATGTTCCGCGCTCGGCCAAATCATATCCGTCCGACTGAAGTCTCGGCCAAAGTCCAAACCACCGGCCGATCACGCAACACGACCCGGGAAACATTGTCCCGCGGTCGGCCAAGCACAACGTTTCACGCCACGCCGCGCACGACCATGCCGCGCGAGCCGGGAACAAGCCTCGCGGCCGCGCAACCCTTCGCGTACCACGGCCGATGCATCCGTCCGAGCCGGGAAGAACGTCCCACGTCCGGCCGAGAAACCATCGGCCAAATCTCATCCGCCGACCACGCCGGCCGACCGACCGGCCGACCGTGAAATCCATCCGGCCCGACCGTTCCGACTCGGCCCAGACCCGACTGTCCGGCCGATCGTCCCGACCGACCGTCCGAACGCCGCGGTCGACCCGAAGCCGTTTTTGAAGCCCAATCCGCACAATTCAAGCCCAAAGCCGGCGCCGACCTAGCTAGATTAGGTTTAGCCGCCTTCTACATACTTAGAGCATTATAAATACTTCTTTTTAGCCTTGTAACTCAAAGAAGGAGAGAGACCACAATCTATTTTACATCTTAATAAAGTTTTGCTTGCTTTTACTTTGTTCTTGCTTGTTACTCTTTCTAGAGAGGATTCGAATCTCTGTTCTTATGAATATGAATTCGTTTCCTTCTCTATGTCTGAGTAGTTTACTTGTTAAGTGATAGGAAGTCAAAGGATAGCATTCATGAATGCTTGATGATTGATCACAATTAGGGTTTTACTTATAATCTCCATCTTTGCTTATACTTAATGCTTGTTGTTAATCTGGCCAATTAGCATATGCCTTTAGGTTGATTTGAGCCTCGACAGTGCTGTATCATTCGCCTGAACTAGTATTTGGTGGGCAATCTCTTTTAGACTGCGACAGTTGATCTACTTGTAGGTTGTGAACAATTGATCTTGATCGAACTAATGCTTGATTTAATCACCTAGGGACATACCAAAAGTTTAGCGACTAGGTAGATTAACAAAGGGGTCGGAGCCTCGACAGTGGAATGATCATACCATAGTGTTTCAAGTTCTAGATTAGCACCTAAGTGCGGTAACCCTAATTGATTGATTTCATGCTTCTTGAATTGCTTATCTCAAGACTATCCTATTGCTTAGCCTTTCTCTCCTATTGAATCTCACTTTAATTACTTGCATGCTTTACTTTCTCTGCACTCAACCAATTTATACTTTTGCCCTAGCTTGTTCTCAAACTCATAACTTGTAGTGTGCAATCTGGTCCTTGTGTTCGATACCCGTTTACTACTTCTGACCTGTGCACTTGCAGAATCAGGGATAGGAAAGGGGAAGACCTGATCCCCCGTGGTAGCCATGAGTTGAAATCAAATGCAAGCATTGGTAATTAAAGATCAAGTTATGGTTCAAATAGATAGGGAAATGCATCAAATCACAGCAATGGTTGAATGAGATGTGCATGCAGCGATATGATCAAGATAAACATGGTTCTTGCTGCTCAATCAATCTCACCCTAATGCACAAAAGAATCTAAAAACAGGGCACTCAAGAAATCGCAAAAGATGGACAAGTTTTCAAAGTCAAATCAACAATGCAAGTGAAAAATGCAATCCTAAACAAGTCTACAAATATGAATGCAAAAAGATGAAAATATTTTTGGATTTTTTGAAAATTTTATGATTTTTTTGGTTTTTCTATGCAAAAGATAAATGAAAAACTAAGAACAAAGAAAACAAGGTTAAATCATCTCTTGAACCCTCCCCCAAACTTAAATCACACAGTCCCTTGTGTGAGAAAAATTAGTGAAAGATTCAAGAGGGCAAAACCAAGAAAAAAAAGCAAAGAAAATATGAAATGGTATATACAAGGGTTGGTGTTTGGATACCTCAGTGCCCCCCAAAGAACTGGGAGGACTAGGTCGTGGTCTGGAGATGGAGACGGCCATCAGGAGCACTCCACTCGACTGGGTTCCTCACTCGATCGAGCTTGTGGCTCCTCTTCTTCCTCTTCTTCATCTTCAAAGTGTGTGTGGCTTCCTTGGCCTTGGTGGAGCATTGGCTAGCTCGTACTGTCCATAGGGGTTCCATCTACTCCGGGGAGGCTCCTGGTAAGGTTGGGATCGTATTCAAATCCCGGATCCTCAAACTGGGGCTCCTCCAGGTCAACTCGACCGTCAGCTCGATCGAGTTGAGTTTCCTCTGTTTGGACTCGATCGAGTCCGGTGGTCGAGCTGGAGCGTCTGGCCTTAGAGTCTTCCTCCTTCTCTGCGTGTTGTCTTCTCCTTCCCTTGGCTCGAAAGAAGAGGCTCTGTGAGGCTCTTGGGCAGGGAGCCTCCTTGGAGTGGTGAGAAGGATCTACTCCTAGGGAATGTGGGGGCCTTGGAGCCTTCTTCTTCTTGCTTGAAGAACCAGAAACCTTCTTCTCCAAACTTTTGATCTTGCTCACCATCTTGTCCATGGACTTTTGCATCTTCTCAATGGCTTTCCCTTGCCATTTGTTGAACTTTTGGAGAAGTCCAATCCTCTTGTGGGCAGCCACAACAGAGGGGTTCATCCTTGGAGCCTCATACTCCTCAAAGTAATAGCACTCAGGCTCACCCAAATCCGCACTCTCCTGGACTCGATCCTCAGCTGAGACTCAGCTCGATCCTCAGCTCGATCGAGCTCAGGCTCCTCTTCTCGCAAATCTCTCATGCCCAACCAATGTGTACACAGGGGGTCTGAAGTCAATGTTCTCACCCCTGACTACTGTGGTGAGCTCAGGGTTGGGCAGGAGAAGCTTGGAGGTCCAGCCAATGGATGTGTGAACTTGAATTGGAACCTCCCATCCAACTCCTTGTGCTCAATGAGGAGGTTGGTCTTGCAAAACTTGATGTCCATCCAACCTGGTTCAGTAGCTCTCTATCAGTTGGGACTCCAGCTGCACAAGATAGGTGTGATGAGCCCTCCAACACTAAGCTTTCTTCCTTTTGTGCCTAGTGTTGTAAGCTGTGTCTTGTAGGTGGAGCTGCTCAAGGAAGGCATGAGTTCCCTGTGTGATCTATCTCCCTCTGATCCTCTTCCCATCCTTGTGCGTGAGATGATGGGCTTGATTCCCATGTCAAGGAGCTTCAGTTCCCCCTCATTGATTGTCCCAGTGGCTTTCCTTGCAAAGAAGGTGTTGGCAAGTGCCTTGTGCACATATCTCAAGCACTGGGCTCCTGATCTGGGCAGCCTTGGACCTTGAGGAAGAGTACACTCCATCAGCGATTGTAGCCCAAACTCTTTGGAGTTCTTTTCCTTGATGTTCCACTTGGTTACCTTCTCCATAGTTGAACCCAAACAAGTATCTCAAGCTGCCTAAAGGTCACCATCTTCTTCTCTCCCTTGCCAAGAACGTGATCCATCCCATCCTTGGTCCAATCAGCTCGATTCCTCATCTACATGTGTACCTCATTGAGCCAAAGAACTCACAAGTGAGCTCCTTGTAGATTCCATGGTGAGAGAAGAACTTGGCCAATTGCATGTTCTTGAGCACCAACTCCACATCCTCAAAGATTCCAAGGGCCTCTCATGGTGTCATCATGTGGGTACTTGGTCTCCACAAAGTCCATGGAGAAGAGAGCATTGTAGTGCTCTTGGTACATGGGGAGCTCATCCTCCTCTTGTGGCTCACTCCATTCATCTTGGTTCCCCTCTTGTCATCTTCATCAACCAATTGGTTCACCTCTTCTCCTTCCTCTTCACTCTCAGTCTCATCACTCCTTCTTCACTTGGAGAGCCATTTCCCTCCTCTTGAACAAGGTTCACTCCAATCTCAAACTCCCCTTGCTCACTCTCACTACTAATGGGGTCATTCCTCTTCTTGGTTCTCCTTTCTCCCTCAATCTCTCACTCTCAGACTCTTCCTCAGAGTACACATACTCCTCTGCATCAGATCTTCCATCCTTGATCATCCTCCAAATCGGCTTGCATCTTAAGCCTTCTCTCCCTTGCATTGCTTGATTCACCCTCAACCATTCTCCTCTGTGAAGCGCGACTTCCCTCACTGTTTGTCATCTTGTTACACTGTTTCTTCACTAAAGTACCTGAAATGCATCAAAGATTACAAAGAATTAGAGTTGTAATGATCGGTTTGGTCAACTCGACACTCAGCTCGATCGAGTCAAAAAACTCGAGTGACAAACTCGATCGAGTTGGGTGAAAACAGAGTATAACCAAACCTAATTCAAGTATTAAGAGCTGGAAAGGATGCTAATCAATCAAATTGAACCAAGAACAACTAGTAAATGGAACAATGAGCAATTCTAGTGAAGCATCTTAACCAATTACCAAACTCAAATTCAATTTTCAAGCACATGCAACAAGTTTTAAAGGCAAAACAGAGGTGAGGTGACAAAATCACAAGGGAAATATGAGCAATTACTCAAGAACAAGTCCACAAGGGACACATGCAATCAAAAATCAAAGAGAAACAAGCAATATGAGAAATCGAGATGGAAGTAATCAAGGGTTTTAGGGTTCATACCTTGCTTGAATGATGAATTAAAACAGTAAAGCTAGAACCCAAACGAATGAAGAAGACAAGGAAATCGCAAAAACTTAAGAGAAAGAGAGAGGTTTCGATTTTTCTTGTGGTGAGAGAGAGATGGATGAGTTTCAGAAATTTTAAGAGTGTGGGAGAGTGGAGAAGTGGTTCGATCGAGTTATGGGGAAGAGGGAGTGTTTGAGATGTGTGGTTGAGATTAAAAGTGAAATAAAGAGGGAACAAAAGCTAGGGTTTTCTGATCAAATTAGGGTAGTGGGGGACCAAAATCAGCTTGTGGGACCCACTCCCTTGACCAAGAAAACGGTTATGAATTTGAAATTCAAAAACTTACCTCGGTCGAGTTGTGTAGCTCGATCGAGTTGCCCTGGTTTCTAGCTCGATCGAGCTATCGGTCGAGCTGGCTCCTTTGACACCTAAACTTAACTTATTGAAAGGTTAAAAACATAAAGATAGATAGAAATTGCATAAATAGAGTATGTACAAGGATAAACATGGGACTTCCTCCCAAGTGAGCTTGTTTAAGGTCCCATAGCTTGACCTTTACCTTTTAGGCATTGGTTGAGCTAGTCCCACCATCAAGGGTGATAGTGAGGACTTGAGACAGAAGCTCCTTTAGCTTGGTTGGGTCCCTGGACTGTTCTGAAGTCACCAAGGCCTTGGCTCTAGAGAATGGCCTTGATCTCCCCTTGTACCTTATCTTGTACTCAATCTTCCCATTTTCAAACTTGGTGGGGAACAAGGTCATTGTGAGCTGAGATGGCTTGACTGAAGGGGCCTGAGCTGGTGGATCCTTTCTTTTATCTCCTGGTCTTGCCTTAGAGGCTACATCCTCCCCTTCTTTTAGAGCCCTTCCTAGTGGCTCATCAAACAAAGCTTGAAGGCTCTCTTCATCAAGCACACAAGGGGCTTGAACAAGTCTATCAGCTCTTGGCCTATCAGATCGTGGTTTCTCAACTCTAGCCCTCTCAAGACGTGGCTTCTCAATCCTTGGTCCTCTCTCATCCTTATCCTTCCCAACTCTTGGTTCTTTGTCAACCTTTCCTTCACAACCTTTGTAGCTCCATGACTCTTAGAACTGAGAGTGGTACTGTCAATTGTGGCACAAAAGTCTGAACCTCTAGGCTGCAAGCGATATGACACCAAACTATTCACCTTGTGAAGGATCACTTCTTGCTTGTGAAAGTCTATTGAAGCGCCAACTGTACTAAGGAAGGGGTTCCCAATAACAGAGGTAGATCCTTCTCTTCTTCCATTTCCATCACAGTGAGATCAGTTTGGATGATGCATTCTCCAATTTTCAAGTGATAGTTCTTGAACACTCCAAGAGGAGACTTAGAAGTTGCATCTCCAAACATGATTGAAGTAGTAGGGCGCTGCAAGGCTCCAGCAATGCCTAGCTTCTCTGCCATGGAGAGAGAGATCAGATTGATGCTTGCTCCAGAATCCACTAAGGCATTGTCAATCTCAAGATGCCCAAGTGTGCAAGGGAGAGTGAATTTCCCTTGATCCTTGACCTTTGGTAGGAAGGTGGGTGAAGTAAGCAGGTTGAACTGATGAGTAGACTCTGTAGGACCTCTGAAACTTTATCACTGTTGGCTAGAACATCCTTGACCATTTGCATTTGATCAAATGCCTCACTCATGCTATCCATAGGAACTCAATTCCAATCCCACTGAGATCTCTTCTGAACTTGTGAATCACTTCCTTGTGACCTTGACTAAGTAGGCGAGACGAGGAAGCGGCAACCGGTTGATAAGGATCAAGCAAAAATTCGGACAGAAGAGGTCGGACTCGATCGAGCTAGAGTTGGACTCGATCGAGCTGCCGATCGAGCTTGTCGTGCGAGCTCAACTGGTGAAGTGTGAATGGCCACAGTAGGTGCATGCACTTCTGGTTGATCAATCTGGACTCCAGGAGCCTCAGCAGCAACAATCTCTTCATCATTCAGCAGTAAACAAAAATCTTCAATGACCCTTTCTTGATCCTCTTCTTCAACAAGTCCTTCTTGAGTGAAGATGACCTTGCACTGTTCCTTGGGGTTCTGAATAGCTTTACCAGGTAGTTGTCCTTGCTTTGTAGCAGCAGCAACAGAAGAAGCATGATTCTCCAGAGAGTAAACCCTTGTGTTGAGGTTCTCGATCTTAGAGTTTATTTCAGCTAGCTTCTTGCTTGTGTCCACTACCCCATCAGCTTGCCCTTGAAGTAGTTGCTTTAGCATTGCTTTGAGCTCATTCTCTTGTGAAGGTGCAGGCTGGGGCGGTTGGTGGGGGAAGCCTGGTGGGATATTCATTTGTTGTCCAGGGAAATTGTTCTTTTGACCATACCCATGTTGTGGCACCTGACTCGATCGAGCTGCTTGTTGTTGAGGATATACTTGGTCCTGAGGGTTAGCAACATCAGTGTTGCGGTATGACATGGCAGGGTTGGCTTGTAATTATAGTATCNCTAATTGCAGTAACCCTAATTGATTGATTTCATGCATCTTGAATTGCATATTTTAAGACTATCCTATTGCTTAGCTTTCTCTCCTATTGATCTCACTTTCAATCACTTGCATGCTTTACTTTCTCTGCACTCAACCAAACTTTTACTTTTGCCCTATCTCGATCTCGAACTCATAGCTTGTAGTGTGCAATCTGGTCCTTGTGTTCGATACCCGTTTACTACTTCTGGCCTGTGCACTTGCAGAATCAGGGATATGAAAGGGGAAGACCTATGTGGTAGCCATGAGTTGAAATCAAATGCAAGCATTGGTAATTAAAGATCAAGTTATGGTTCAAATAGATAGGGAAATGCATCAAATCACAGCAATGGTTGAATGAGATGTGCATGCAGTGATATGATCAAGATAAACATGGTTCTTGCTGCTCAATCAATCTCACCCTAATGCACAAAAGAATCTAAAAACAGGGCACTCAAGAAATCGCAAAAGATGGACAAGTTTTCAAAGTCAAATCAACAATGCAAGTGAAAATGCAATCCTAAACAAGTCTACAAATATGAATGCAAAAAGATGAAAATATTTTTGGATTTTTTGAAAATTTTATGATTTTTTTGGTTTTTCTATGCAAAAGATAATGAAAAACTAAGAACAAAGAAAACAAGGTTAAATCATCTCTTGAACCCTCCCCCAAACTTAAATCACACAGTCCCTTGTGTGAGAGAAATTTAGTGAAAGATTCAAGAGGGCAAAACCAAGAAAAAAAAGCAAAGAAAATATGAAATGGTATATACAAGGGTTGGTGTTTGGATACCTCAGTGCCCCCCAAAGAACTGGGAGGCTAGGTCGTGGTCTGGAGATGGAGACGGCCATCAGGAGCACTCCACTCGACTGGGGTTCACCTCACTCGATCGAGCTTGCGGCTCCTCTTCTCCTCTTCTTCATCTCAAAGTGGTGTGGCTTCCTTGGCCTTGGTGGAGCTGGCTTGCTCGAACTGTTAGGGGTCCATCTCTGGAGAAGTCCTGGTAAGGTTGGATCGTACTCAAATCCGGATCTCAAACTGGGGCTCCTCCAGGTCAACTCGACCGTCAGCTCGATCGAGTTGAGTTTCCTCTGTTTGGACTCGATCGAGTCCGGTGGTCGAGCTGGAGCGTCTGGCCTTAGAGTCTTCCTCCTTCTCTGCGTGTTGTCTTCTCCTTCCTTGGCTCGAAAGAAGAGGCTCTGTGAGGCTCTTGGGCAGGGAGCCTCCTTGGAGTGGTGAGGAGTGATCTACTCCTAGGGAATGTGGCTCATGGAGCCTTCTTCTTCTTGCTTGAAGAACCAGAAACCTTCTTCTCCAAACTCTTGATCTTGCTCACCATCTTGTCCATGGACTTTTGCATCTTTCAATGGCTTTCCCTTGCCATTTGTTGAACTTTTGGAGAAGTCCAATCCTCTTGTGGGCAGCCACAACAGAGGGGTTCATCCTTGGAGCCTCATACTCCTCAAAATAATAGCACTCAGGCTCACCCAAATCCGCACTCTCCTGGACTCGATCCTCAGCTTGAGACTCAGCTCGATCCTCAGCTCGATCGAGCTCAGGCTCCTCTTCTCGCAAATCGTCTCATGCCCAACTAATGTGTACACAGGGGGTCTGAAGTCAATGTTCTCACCCCTGACTACTGTGGTGAGCTCAGGGTTGGGCAGGAGAAGCTTGGAGGGTCCAGCCAATGGATGTGTGAACTTGAATTGGAACCTCCCATCCAACTCCTTGTGCTCAATGAGGAGGTTGGTCTTGCAAAACTTGATGTCCATCCAACCTGGTTCAGTGGCTCTCTATCAGTTGGGTTCACTCCAGCAGCACACAAGATAGGAGTGATGAGCCCTCCAACACTTAGCTCTTCCTTGTTGATCGAGTGTTGTAGGCTGTGTCTTGTAGGTGAGGAGATGTCAAGGAAAGGCATCAAGTTTCCTGTGTGGATCTATCTCCCCTGATCCTCTTGCCATCCTTGTGCGTGAGAGATGGGCTTGATTCCCATGTCAAGAAACTTGAGTTCCCCCTCGTTGATGTCCCGGTGCCTTCCTTGCAAAGAAGGTGTTGGCAAGTGCCTTGTGCACATACCTCAACACTGGGCTCCTGATTTGAGCAGCCTTGGACCTTGAGGAAGAGTATACTCCATCAGCGATTGTAGCCCAAACTTTGGAGTTCTCTTTCCTTGAAGTTCCACTTACCTTCTCCATAGTTGAACCCAAACAAGATCTCCAACTGCCTAAAGGTCACCATTCTCTTCTCTCCCTTAGCCAAGAACGTGATCCATCCCAATCCTTGGTCCAAATCAGCTCTATCTCCTCATCGTACATGTGGTACCTCATTGAAGCCAAGAACTCGCAAGTGAGCTCCTTGTAGGATTCCATGTGATAAGAGAAGAACTTGGCCAAGTGCATGTTCTTGAGAACCAACTCCACATCTTCAAAGATTCCAAGGGCCTTCATTGTGTCAACATGTGGGTACTTGGTCTCCACAAAGTCCATGGAGAAGAGAGCATTGTAGTGCTCTTGGTACATGGGGAGCTTCTTCCTCCTCTTGTGGCTCAACCTCCTCCATGGTTCATCTTGGTTACTCTCTTGCTCACTCTCTCAACCAACTGATTCACCTCTTCTCCTTCCTCTTCACTCTCAGTCTCATCACTTCCTTCTTCACTTGGAGAGCCATTCCCTCCTCTTGAACAAGGTTCACTCCAATCTCAAACTCCCCTTGCTCACTCTCACTACTAATGGGTCATTCCTCTTCTTGGTTCTCCTTTCCTCCCTCAATCTCTCACTCTCAGACTCTCCTCAGAGTACACATACTCCTCTGCATCAGACTCTTCCATCCTTGATCATCCTCCAAATCGGCTTGCATTTAAGCCTTCTCTCCCTTGCATTGCTTGATTCACCCTCAACCATTCTCCTCTGTGAAGCGCGCTTCCCTCACTGTTTGTCATCTTGTTACACTGTTTCTTCACTAAAGTACCTGAAATGCATCAAAGATTACAAAGAATTAGAGTTGTAATGATCGGTTTGGTCAACTCGACACTCAGCTCGATCGAGTCAAAAAACTCGAGTGACAAACTCGATCGAGCTAGGTGAAAACAGAGTATAACCGAACCTAATTCAAGTATTAAGAGCTGGAAAGGATGCTAATCAATCAAATTGAACCAAGAACAACTAGTAAATGGAACAATGAGCAATTCTAGTGAAACTAAGCATCTTAACCAATACCAAACTCAAATTCAATTTTCAAGCACATGCAACAAGTTCTAAAGGCAAAACAGAGGTGAGGTGAGGCAAATTCACAATTATACAGGAGATAAAATGAAAGCAATTACTCAAGATACAACCCACAAGGGACACATGCAATCAAAAATCAAAGAGGAAACAAGCAATAGGAAATCGAGATGGAGGAATCAAGGGTTTTAGGGTTCATACCTTGCTTGAATGATGAATTGAAGACAGTAAACTAGAACCCAAACAAAGAAGAAGACAATGAAATCGCAAAAACTTAAGAGAAAGAGATTGATTCGATTTTTCTTGTGGTGAAGAGAGAGAGGATGAGTTTCAGAAATTTTAGAGTGTGGGAGAGAGAAGTGGGTTCGATCGAGTTATGGGGAAGAGGGAGTGTTTGAGATGTGTGGTTGAGATTAAAAGGTGAATAAAGAGGGGAACAAAAGCTAGGGTTTTTCTGATCAATTAGGGTAGTGGGGGACCAAAATCAGCTTGTGGGACCCACTCCCTTGACCAAGAAAACGGTTGAATTTGAAATTCAAAAACTTACCTTGGTCGAGTTGTGGAACTCGATCGAGTTGCCCTGGTTTCTAGCTCGATCGAGCTGTCGGTCGAGCTGGCTCCTTTGACACCTAAACTTAACTTATTGAAAGGTTAAAACATAAAATAGATAGAAATTGCATAAATAGATATGTACAAGGATAAACATGGGACTTCCTCCCAAGTGAGCTTGTTTAAGGTCCCATAGCTTGACCTTTACCTTCTTAGGCATTGGTTGAGCTAGTCCCACCATCAAGGGTGATAGTGAGGACTTGAGACAGAAGCTCCTTTAGCTTGGTTGGGTCCCTGGACTGTTCTGAAGTCACCAAGGCCTTGGCTCTAGAGAATGGCCTTGATCTCCCCTTGTACCTTATCTTGTACTCAATCTTCCCATTTTCAAACTTGGTGGGGAACAAAGTCATTGTGAGCTGAGATGGCTTGATGAAGGGGCCTGAGCTGGTGGATCCTTTCTTTTATCTCCTGGTCTTGCCTTAGAGGCTACATCCTCCCCTTCTTTTAGAGCCCTTCCTAGTGGCTCATCAAACAAAGCTTGAAGGCTCTCTTCATCAAGCACACAAGGGGCTTGAACAAGTCTATCAGCTCGTGGCCTATCAGATCGTGGTTTCTCAACTCTAGCCCTCTCAAGACGTGGCTTCTCAATCCTTGGTCCTCTCTCATCCTTATCCTTCCCAACTCTTGGTTCTTTGTCAACCCTTTCCTTCACAACCTTTGTAGCTCCATGACTCTTAGAACTGAGAGTGGTACTGTCAATTGTGGCACAAAAGTCTGAACCTCTAGGCTGCAAGCGATATGACACCAAACTATTCACCTTGTGAAGGATCACTTCTTGCTTGTGAAAGTCTATTGAAGCGCCAACTGTACTAAGGAAAGGGGTTCCCAATAACAGAGGTAGATCCTTCTCTTCTTCCATTTCCATCACAGTGAGATCAGTTTGGATGATGCATTCTCCAATTTTCAAGTGATAGTTCTTGAACACTCCAAGAGGAGACTTAGAAGTTGCATCTCCAAACATGATTGAAGTAGTAGGGCGCTGCAAGGCTCCAGCAATGCCTAGCTTCTCTGCCATGGAGAGAGAGATCAGATTGATGCTTGCTCCAGAATCCACTAAGGCATTGTCAATCTCAAGATGCCCAAGTGTGCAAGGGAGAGTGAATTTCCCTTGATCCTTGACCTTTGGTAGGAAGGTGGGTGAAGTAAGCAGGTTGAACTGATGAGTAGACTCTTGTAGGACCTCTGAAACTTTATCACTGTTGGCTAGAACATCCTTGACCATTTGCATTTGATCAAATGCCTCACTCATGCTATCCATAGGAGGCAACTCAATTCCAATCCCACTGAGATCTCTTCTGAACTTGTGAATCACTTCCTTGTGACCTTGACTAAGTAGGCGAGACGAGGAAGCGGCAACCGGTTGGTAAGGATCAAGCAAAACAGGCTTTCGGACAGAAGAGGTCGGACTCGATCGAGCTAGAGTTGGACTCGATCGAGCTGCCGATCGAGCTTGTTGTGCGAGCTCAACTGGTGAAGTGTGAATGGCCACAGTAGGTGCCTGCACTTCTGGTTGATCAATCTGGACTCCAGGAGCCTCAGCAGCAACAATCTCTTCATCATTCAGCAGTAAACAAAAATCTTCAATGACCCTTTCTTGATCCTCTTCTTCAACAAGTCCTTCTTGAGTGAAGATGACCTTGCACTGTTCCTTGGGGTTCTGAATAGCTTTACCAGGTAGTTGTCCTTGCTTTGTAGCAGCAGCAACAGAAGAAGCATGATTCTCCAGAGAGTAAACCCTTGTGTTGAGATTCTCGATCTTAGAGTTTATTTCAGCTAGCTTCTTGCTTGTGTCCACTACCCCATCAGCTTGCCCTTGAAGTAGTTGCTTTAGCATTGCCTTGAGCTCATTCTCTTGTGAAGGTGCAGGCTGGGGTGGTTGGTGGGGAAAGCCTGGTGGGATATTCATTTGTTGTCCAGGGAAAGTGCCTTGTGGTCCTTGGTAATTGTTCTTTTGACCATACCCATGTTGTGGCCTTGACTCGATCGAGCTGCTTGTTGTTGAGGATAGACTTGGTCCTGAGGGTTAGCAACATCAGTGTTGCGGTATGACATGGCAGGGTTGGACTTGTAATTATAGTATCCTTTGTTGTAACCTCCTTGCCCATTGCTCATGTAGCACACCTCAGCAAATTGTGTATCCTCCCCTTCTTGGACTGGTTCCATCTCCTCAGCAGACACAAAGTTGACTTTCTTCATTGTGGACTGAGCTAGGATCAGCTTATCCAACTTCTCATTCAATGCCTTAACATCTTTTCTCAACTTTTCGTCTGACTCGATCGAGTGGTGGGTCGAGCTCCGGTTGGTGCGATCATACTCTTCTCCATAGCTTCCATTTGAGTTAGCTATGTTCTCCACAAGTTGCCAGCCATCATCTACATCCTGGTTGAGGAAGTTCCCATTGCTAGCTGTGTCTAGCATCTCCCTATACCTAGGCAAGCATCCTCTATAAAGAGTGGAGAGTAGTGATTCATTGTTGAATCCATGGTGTGGGCACTGACTTGTGTAGCCTTTGAACCTCTCCCAAGCCTCTGCGAATGTCTCATTGTTTCGCTGGATGAAGCTGGATATCTCCTCTAAGCTTGGCTGTGCGACCGGTGGAGAAAAACTTAGCAAGAAAGGCCTTCTTGCATTCATCCCAAGTGGTGATTGTGCCATGGGGCAAGCTCTTCTCCCATTGGTGAGCTTTGTCAGCTAGAGACATAGGAAAGAGTCTCAGCTTGATGGCATCTTCAGAGACACCATTGATCTTTGTCAAATCACAAAGCCTATCAAACTCATCAAGGTGGTCAATGGGGTCTTCACTTGGCAATCCATGGAACATCTTGTTCTGACAAGGTTGATCATTCCCAGCTTGATCTCAAAGTTGTGGTTCTGCACTGGTGGTGGAACAATCCCTTGTCTCTGTTGGTGGCGGTTTGGAGCATCTCCTTGACCAATCGGTCGAGTTTGCCTAGCTCGACCGAGTCCATTGCCCAAAGGGTTTCCATTCCCCTCTGGTACATCCATTGTATCAGCAACAAGCACCTCAGGTTCCTCTTGTACCCTCTGTGACCTCTGAACCCTCTTTCTACCCGTTGTAAAGTCTAGCTCGACCAAGTCTCTGTAGACCGACTCGATCGAGTTCGCATACACCTGCAAAAAGAGACAAAAACCCAGCAGTACAATAGAACAGGGGTGGTATAGCTTGATCGTCCAAGTGTATTTGAAACTCAAATGCAACAAAAATATCCCAAATCGGCAACGGCGCCAAATTGATGATAGGATTTGTGTGTGGTGTGAAAGATATGAAATGAGATGTGGTGGAATGCAACAGTGGTAAATGATGAGGTGGTAAGATGCAAACACAAACACAGTCAACAATTCCCTTTAACCATCATAGTTGTTATAGTAAAGGGTTATCAATCCAAAATGGGGAAACTTGTCACTCTATGAGAATATGAAACAAGGAAGTCAAGCAAGCAGTAAATAGATTTGGTAACACTAACAACCTAAATGAAAAGAAATGAAATGCAGTAAAAGTAAATAAAGCAGTAAGCAACAGCTCGACCAAGGACTCGAGTTTAGGGTCGAGTTGAAGTAAAAAGCTAAAGGTGACGACTTTAACAAGCTAAGAGAGAATTAGGGTTCAAGACAGGGTTTTGCAATAGGAATCTACACTTAATCAATCTGCTCTTAAAACTCCTTGTATCAAGGCTTCTCTTGATATTGGGCTTCTCAATGCCTAGCCAACCCTTTCCCAAGGTGAGGCTATCAACCAAGGAATGATCTCAGAAACAGGGGGTTAGCCAGTGAGAATCAAACCTTGGAGGCCATAGGATCATTGCCCAAACTAATCCATCCAACCCCTTAGACCTCTATTTCTAGAGCAAGAGATATTGGAGCTCTTAGTGGATCTTTTCCAGCGAATTTGCCATCACTTCCGTGTGGAGAATCGCCTAAGGACATACAAGCCAGGGGTAGTGGTCATGTAGCCTTAAGATCTATCCAAAAGAGAGAGAATCTAGATTAAGACCATAAGCAAGAAGGATTAAGCATATGAAACCTCTAATCTATCCCATCTCAAACCCTAATGGGTAACTACTCACTACACATGAATGTAAACACAAGCAAATGCAATAAAAGAGACATCATAAGAAAGAGGAGATGAAATAAACAACTTTTATTGAAATAAGCAAGTGCAAATACAAAGAGATTATCCAGGATCTAGGATTCAAGAAGCAAGAGCTTCAAGAACACAAAGATGGGATTTAGCTCTAAAAAGTAAAAGACAATAAATTAAAAGAAACTAAAACAAAAGTAATCTAAAGCTTGGTGGTTTTTTCGTGGCTTTTAGCCTTTAAATACAAAGAGGATTAGGTTTAGGGTCAAAGGAAAGTCAAGGGGGAAGCAACATTTTTCGGGTTTGACTTTGACTCTCAGCTCGATCGAGTTGAAGCTTGGCCGGTCGAGTTGAGGAACTCGACCGGTTGGTCGAGTAGATGGTCGAGCTGGTCTTCAAGATGGCTTCCTCCTTCTTCCTTTGCGTATCCAGTTGAGCTGCGTCCATGTGCCAAGTCCCTCCATGCTCCTCACGTCCCATATGCTCCAGAATGCTCCAAAAGACCTATTTCAAAGGACCAAACATGCATATGTATGCAAATGCAACCTAAAACTACATGAATGCATAAGAAGAGAAAAGGAACAAGATATGATGCTAATGGATGCTAAAACTATGCAAAAGATGCATAAAAGATGTACTAAAACTATGTAAAATGCAAGTACATCAGTTACCTCTTGTTTTTCTTGTGCCGTTCTCCCTGCTACCGCCTCACTTGCCGCATGATTTATGATATCATTAGGATCTGAGTCATCATTGGAGAAAACGTTATCGTTTTGGGATTTCCAGATAAACCAAATCAACCAGGGATACATACCCATTCTTTCATCATTTGGTAGGTTCCAAAACAGGTGAGCAATGTTTGTGAACAAACCTCCTGTTGGGAAATGGTCAAATGTTGTAGGAATTGGGGATAAAGCCCACACATGTAACGCTGGTGGACATTCAAATAACATATGATTAACCGTTTCCGGAGCCATAAAATTACAAATTTCGATGATGTTTCCTCCCGTCATCTGATCTCAAAAAATTTGAAGTAATGAATGATGCACAAAAACTTGAATTGTGTTTTCCTGATTCAAACAAAAGTAAAACTTTAATGTTAATCAATGTTATAATAAGATTATCTATATCAATATAATAAGATGTTACTAACATTTTTCATCAAGTAATAGAAGCTCAATTCCCATAAGAATAGTACAACGATAATTTTGATTTCGATCCAATTGACCTAGAGTCAAATAATCTCCATGTTCTCTTGAACTTTTCAAAGACATGATTTTAAAATTAGAGAAAAAGAATCAAAGAGATTTGCTGAATTTGCTTTGATGATTTTGTGAATGATAATAAAAAATATACAGTAGCTCTCTTTTTATAGGGGTTTATATAATCAATTTCATTCCGTTTTATGATTTTTAGTTTACATACCTATTCCATGTACTAAAAGGATTGTTTTAAATAGGGATTTATATAACCTAGTCCATATAGTTTTAGGATATTTAGTTTACATACCTATTCTATGTACTAATAGGTATTTTTTCTTATATTATTTTTAATTTATTATATAAATTTTCGTTTTTATTATAAAAGATTAAAATTTTCCCTTATTTTTTTTTTCCTTTTTCTCAAGACATGTGTTACGATCTTAACGGACGTAATATTAAAAGTGACATATGTCGCAATCCTATATTTTATAAAAATCCTACATGTTGTAACCACGTCGCGCACATCCAACTTTATATAATAAGATATAAAGTATGACACGTATTTGAGTGTTGAGTGTATATCTATATATATATGGACTAGGGTGCTAGATGAAGAACATGATGTATGTTGATTGAAGAAATGAAATATGTTATGATGTGAAAGTATGTGGTGATGTGATGATAATGAGTTATGGTTAAGTATGGTGCTATACGCACATAGCGTATAGAACGGTTAAAGACCGAACCGTTAGTGGAGACAAGATCTCACTAGACGGGTGGTGTGTTGGGTGTGGTGAGGCCTAGGAACTAGCGCCACGATCGCTAGGTGGACACGTAAGATGGCATGGATACCGAAATGATAAATGTGGACAAGGACCGCTAGGTGGACATGTAAGATGGCGTGGATGCACCGAAACGATAGGAAACTCTTGTGTGATGAGTGTGCGTTCATAGGACGTGATGATTGATATGTGTTTTAAATCTAAATTTGCGTTGTCATGTGGTTAAGTTGTATGCGATGAATTCATAAGCTCATAGACTGAGTAATCTCCTTTACTCACCCTTCCTTTTTTGCAGGTGAGCTTGTTGAGTAGCAGGTCGCACGTCGCACAGATGTATTTTATTTTATTTTACAAAGCTATTTATTATTTAAACTAAAAATAAAAAAAGAGAGAAGATAATTGAATTGAATGGAACCTGGCGGTTTCAGGCATGAGCATTCGCCGTTAACGCGGCAGGATGAACATCGATCATCAGAATCAACCTCCAAGCAATATCTGAATCGGCGTAACTAAAACGTCTTTAATTCTATGGATTTGATCATTTCAGTCCAAACACTCATTCTTTGTTTGAGTGCTTACAATCTTCCTTTTTCTTCCTTAGGCTTTCACTCATCTCTCTCTTCTTCCTTAGTGTGCCTCTTATTTTGTGCTGAAATTTAGACAGCAACAGTGTGCTTAGAGTTGTTACGTTTTTTTTTGGTAACTCCAAATTCATAAAGTACCTGAAAAGCAAAATTTCAAATTTATCCATCCTTGTTTTTTTTGTGTAATGGAATTATAAATAAATAACATTTTCCGATTTGGGGGACGCACGAGAGAATTTCAAGCTTTAAACGGAAGCAAAGAAAAGCTGATGAGGTGGCGCTTTCCGACCAAAACGTTCCCGCGTCCAACTCCTCTCTTCTATTCATCCACGTGTCGTTTATCCAGTTGACCAGCATGACCTACTTTATTAGAACCACACCATGAAGTCATGAACCACTTTGGCATACCGTACTGTATAACTTTTGCTTATGGGGAAAAAGATTGTAATCTCGCAGATTATTTTAGCTCACGTATAAATGACATCATTTTATCATGTGCTTCCCTATAAATTCTTTTGAATCTCTTTTTCTTGTTTCTAATAAAGGAGTATATATTATATATAGTAAATCGGCGTTAATATAAGTCTTTTGTAAACAAATAGCTTAATTTCCATTTACTCTCAAACAAAACTACACTAGTTTGCGAAAAAAAATATATATATATATATATGTTTGAATGGTTTTGAGATTTAATTCAAGAAAACCATTCAAACAATGTTGTTTAGCCATATATTGTCAAAATCAGTATATATACTCGCCTTGGATATTCAAATCATTCAAACGTGTAATTTGTGTATCATATAGATACACACACATACATATATCTGTACGCATATATATATATATATATAGGTGGTTGCCAAGCTTACCCAACTCTCTGTCTTCGACTTGCAATAACATGTACTCTGTCATAAGAGAGACATAGGCATAGAGATAGAGAGAGGGAGAGAAAACAGAGTATATGCTCTGTTTTGTTCAGTGATCAATAGAGAGTCTTAAAGAGTGAGAGGGATAGATACGGGGAGACAACCATGCTGTGACAAAGTAGGGCTGAAGAAAGGACCATGGACTGCAGAAGAAGACAGGAAGCTCATAAACTTCATCCTCACCAATGGTCAATGTTGTTGGAGAGCTGTTCCTAAGCTTGCTGGTCTTCTTAGGTGTGGCAAAAGTTGCAGACTTCGTTGGACAAATTATCTCCGACCAGACCTTAAGTGTGGTCTTCTCTCTGATTTTGAGGAGAAGATGGTCATTGACCTCCACTCTCAGCTTGGCAACAGGTTACATTTAAAACTCAACACTTTTTTTTTCACTTGAATTCTATGTTTTGAGTCTCGGACTAGTGGCGAAATCAAAAAGAAATAAAAAACTTTGTTTCAGCATGCTTTATTTCTGAGATTCTTTTTTTTTGGGTATGTGAAGGTGGTCAAAGATAGCTTCTCATTTACCAGGAAGAACAGACAACGAAATCAAGAACCATTGGAACACTCACATCAAGAAGAAGTTAAGGAAAATGGGGATCGATCCTCTCACTCATAAACCACTCTCCATCATTGAACATGAAGAAAAAGAACCAATAAAGAAGCTGCAGATAAATCAAATGCCTTTGCAAGATCCAAGCGAGCAGTCTTTAGAGGAACCAACAAGTAATT